TTTTCGAAAAAGAAAGCAACATCAGCATTGCTTTGTGGAAACTGTGCATCAAATCAAATCCAAAAGTATGGCCAACCTCTTGCAGAATCTGTTCTTGTCAGTATTCAGTGATCCTTCGAAACTCGGTCGAACCTGCGTCTTCAGTCCCCCTCAATCAAAGCTTCCTTTTACTGACGATATTGCTGAATTTCTCGTGGACGACATCAATAAGGCCATTGAAGACATCAAACCTAATGCTGCATCAGGTCCTGACGAAATTCCAGTCACCCTTTCAAGAACTGCAAGAAAGCCCTAGCAGAAAACCAATGAATCATCTGGTCCGCTCCTTAGTTTCTGGGGAGGGGGGTCCCTAGTTTCTATAAGTACACACACGTATTCTCTCCACAGAAGGATAGTCGAGCCAAAACCAGCTAACTTACCGAACCTTTATTCACTCACCTCTCGTTGTGGTTAAAGTATACGAGAGGTGATAAGAAAAAGCTGGTAAACTATTTGGAGATCAATAACCTATCTGTAGTAAAGCCAGACGGTTTAGATTTGGCCGGGAGTTGCCTTACTCAACTTCTTCACCAATTTGATGACGTTTTGGATTCTCTGAGCAACAATTTCCGATTTTGAATTCAATATACCTGGACTATTGCCAAGGCTTTCGAAAAGTCGATCACAAACTCCTACTGAGAAGCTCCAACTTCATGGAATCATCCTAAAATCATAAAGTGGGATAGATCTTTCTCTCAGACCGGAAACAAGCAGGTGTTGTGACGGTTCATCTGTCCATCCTTGCAAAATGATAATCAGCGGGTTTCCACAAAGGTATGTTTTGGGGCCGATCCTTTTCTTGATTTTTATTCAATGATATCGAACATTGTATCATGCACTCATCATAATTCGATGTTTTGACTGATGACACTAGCATAACCATTGCTATCAAATCGGAGCATGACGTTCAAGCTCCTCCAAGAAGATCTGCAAAATGTCATGACTGGTCTGAATGAAATAATATGGCCCTTCACGATAAGACAAATATTTGAGTATTGTGTCTAAGTTCAAACACAATATGTGCTATCTGAACTTCCATTTGTGGTTGAAACCACTAATCAATACTCAGTTTCAAAGACCACTATACTTGGCCAATACATCAGCTCAGGGGATTTAGGCGGTCATAGTGTCAAGTGGTTCTCTCTTGGTCCCCTTACATACGAGCCATTGCAGATAAAGCTCGCCAAAAAAGCATCATGGGATCCAGTGTATGTCACACACGTATTCATCCATTCATGCTGTACGCTATATAAATCAATGGTTCGAAGACTGATTGAATATTGCTGTCACTTATGCATCCCTCCAAAAATCAGCGATATCCCATGGAAACTGGAGAGTGTACAGCGGAAAGCAGTCACCGCCAGGGAATATCAGGATTGCGCGTCTCCCACTACTGGGATCGCCTGGTCCTATCTAGCTCTGATGTCTCTTCGACGAAGGCGGGAGCGATTCATCATTCTCCATATGTGGAAATCCTCCACGAATGACCAGCAATGATTGAAACGTGCTATGTGTTTCACGCCAAGGCTTGGAAACCTTGCAGTAATTCCATCAAAAACGTAGAACCAGTTCAAAGCAATCCTCACCTTGTTTGACAACTATTTGCCAGTTCAGGGACCTAAAGTGTGGAATGCAATCCCCTACCATCTGAATGTCATTCAAGATCTAGAAAGCACTTTCAAAGCTAAGCTCACAAAGTTATGTGGTCTCTCCTGATAAGCCGCCGATAGGGGATATACTCCTCAATACGAACTCTCTGCTTGCTGGCCGCAACGAGCGAGACTCTACTTCGCTATGGGGTGGTCAGAAGAATGCTGATGGCCCCGTCAAGTCTTGACGAAACTCAACATTAGGGCACATAGGGTCACATAGGTAGGGAGTATGCCACTGCCACTATGTACGTTATTATATAGGTAGTATGCCACTACCCACTATGTTGCTGTTATTCTATAGGTAGTACGCCACTACCCACTATGTACTGTTATTATTTAGGTAGTACGTCACTACCCCTATGTGCTGTTATTTTATAGGAGTACGCCATGCCACTGGTGCTGTGATTATATAGGTAGTATGCCACTACCCACTATGTGCTATTATTATTTAGGTAGTACGCATACCACTAAGTTGCTGTTATTATATAGGTTGTACGCACTGCCCACTTTGTACTGTGTTGATAGGTAGTACGCACTACCCCCCACTATGTGCTGTTATTATATAGGTTTAGTACGCCACTGCCCACTATGTGTGTTTATTATATAGGTAGTACGCCACTACCCACTATGCGTGTTATTATATCGGTAGTACGCCACTTGGGCCCCTATTGTACTGTTATATTTATTCGGTAGTATCGCCATGCCACTATGTGCTGTTATTATATAGGGAGTATCGCCACTGCCCACTTGTGTGTTATTATATAGGTTATAGTACGCCACTGCCCACTATGTGAGTGTTATTATATAGGTAGTTACCGCCACTAACCACTATGTGCTGTTATTATTATAGGTAGTACGCATACCCACTGTGTGCTGTTATTATATAGGTCAGTTCGCCACTACCCACTATGCACTTGTTATTTATATAGGTAGGTACGCCACCTGCCCACTAGGTGCCTGATATTATTTAGGTAGTACGCCACTGCCCACTAGTTCTGTTTTTTAATAGGTAAGTACGCCACTGCCCACTATGTACTGTTATTATAGAGGTCGTACGCCACTGCCCACTATTGTGCTGTTATTTAGATAGGTAGTACGCACCGCCCACTATGTGTGGTTAATATTTTATAGGTAGTACCGCCATGCCCTTACTATGGGCTGTTATTATTTAGGTAGTACGCCACTACCCACTATGCACTGTTATTATATAGGGTAGTTACGCATGCCCACTATGTGTGCTGTTATTTATAGGTTTGTACGCCACTGCCCACAATGGGCTGTTATTATATAGGTAGTGCGCCACTTGCCCACTATGTACTGTTATTATATAGGGTAGTACCGCCACTGCCCACTCATGTGCTGTTTCTATATAGGTAGACGCCATACCCACTATGTGCTGTGATTATATATAGGTAGATACGCCCACTGCCTCACTAGGGCTGTTATTATATAGGTAGTTACGCCACACTTACCACTATGTGTGTTATTATATATAGGTTAAGTTACGCCACTACCCACTTATGTGCTGTTATTATATAAGGTAGTACCGCCATGCCACTATGTGACTGTTATTATATAAAGTAGTACGCACCTGCCCACTTATGTAGTGTTATTATATAGGTAGTACGCCCACTGCCCATGTGCTGTGTATTAGATCTAGGTAGTAACGCCCTTTTTTTTTATAAAACCCCCCAACTTAATGCACTGTTATTATTATAGGTAGTACGCCATCTTGCCCACTATGTGCTGTTATTATATAGGTAAATACGCCACTATGCACTGTGATTATATAGGTTATTACGCCTCTATGCACTGCGCTTGCTCGCTAAGGTTTTGATAAGTTTATTAAGGTAACCCAATAAATTTACTAGCACAGTAAAACTCGATGGATCTGGTTGTAAATAGACAACTTTCTGAACAAAAAATACAGTTTGAGTCTCCAAGTGCTAACTATAGATGGTAAAAGCACTGTAACCGTATTAAACTGGTTACATTCCACATAAAACAACTGGCGGTAAGTTGCAGGATCCCATCATGAAAACACCATGCCGTACTTTCGGTTAAAACTGGGATATTTTTGCGTATTTGCCTAAAATACAGGACTAAATAGTTCCAATATGCTGAAGATGTGCAGGTACAGTTAGTATGTTTTACAAGAAATATCACACCCAGTCATTAATAGAATGAGAAGTTAAACATGATGGAAGTCAGTTTGATAACCACACTACAGAACACTTTGTGAGAGTGTAACGTTTGTCAGGCTCCGTCTTCTTGTGCTGTTACGTGTAGTGCTGTGTAGTGTCATACTTCAGGAACTGGACATTGTTATTGTGGTCAGACTCTACTAAGAAAAAATATATGTTCTGACTGTGGATGCTAAGTTCCAGCGTATATTATAATCTGTATCAAGGGTTGAGGTCAAGAATTTTCTGCAGACTTTTGAAATCCGATCTAAATTCTAAGGTGCTAGTTTTTTCTTAATATAGTTATATTAGATCAAACACCTTAGTTGGTTTTAGCAGCAGAACACTTAAGCTCATAAACACACGTGTACTGAAGGCCGTGCAAATTGGAAGCAGTTACCAGCAGATCACACAGACAGTAACCAGCAGTCACACAGCAGGTTCCCAGCATCACACAGCAGTTACCAGCCAGTCACACAGCTTGTAACAGCCAGTAGTCACCCTTAAAAGCAGTTACAGGCAGTCACACTGCTGTAACCAGCAGTCACCTGCAGTTACCAGCAGTAACCCAGCAGTCACACAGCAGTAACACAGCTGTTGTGAACTAAGATGAGCCTTTAACACCTCGTACAACAACCACCCCCTCTCTCTCTCTCTCGTTGTCCAGGCTAACCACCCTAACTATAGTGGTAATTTTCTGGTAATCAGCTAATGGGACACGGATTTATACCTGGAACCCTGCAGTCGGAAACTAAATGATGTCCAGATCATTGGGGTACTCCGGATGACGTTTTTAGAGAAGTTACAACTTCTTAAATGCACCACAGTGCTGAATTTATGCATGGCTCGGTTTTTGCAGTAAAAGGTTACAGTTTGCTCTGTAATCCAGCTCTAAATCTCATGAGGCTTTCCACCGGTCCTGGATCAGGAGCAGCGTAGTATGCTGATAGATTGCGTAAATTTAAACGGGAAAGTACCCTTGCGTCACTTTAGTTTATCACTTACTGCTGTAAACTGATCAGTTGCGGAAATTTAGGCTCTGGGGAATATATACGAACATACTTTATTAATTGTACTATTTATATTCCCCAAAGTACCTCTTTATTTAACACGTGCTATTCCTCAGAGTTCCAGTTCGCATATGGTCAGACTCAGATGGCGGATCACATCAAGACGCTCTTTGACTGTGATCTTCCCACGACAAAGGAAATGAAACTTTCGTCAAATGTTGGAGGAAGGCAGCTGCAGGGTCCCGGCATCAGATTCCTCGTTATAGGTTATTAACATTTTCAACGTACCTAAGTTCCTTCTAATTAAAATAATATTTTCGTATTGCATTTATATAAGCCAGTACCGAGGCCTCTATGGTTGCCATTTATCCCAAACTGACCAAAAATACCACTTATGAATATATGATTATTATTTGAGGTGTTCAATCCTCGTCACTGTTAAAAAGTAAAAATTTACTGACCGCAATGTACTCTTGATCCGTAAAATACCTGCTATCCTGTAAATTTGTGTTACTGTCAATTTAGAGATAATATTATGTCTAGCAGGCGTCCAATCTGATAACATGACGTCTGATGATATCCAGACCAAAACAGTTACACTGAAATTATGGCAGGTGTCGGAAAAACTTACGTAGGTAAATGGTTAAACGGGGGCGCCGAGGTACGGTTTGAACTACAATGTGTTTGGCTCAACCGTTTGTAGGCCAGTCCTGTGGGAAGACCCGGGTCAGAGGAACTTCTTTCGAGCAGACCTTTTACTGGAGCGAGGTGATTTTTGTTTTACAACGGACTTGCTTTACCCATAATAGTAAAGTACAGTTAGATTGATATGTATACGTCACTCTTATTAACCGTTTAATTTAACCTTTTAATGGGATTGCATGCTTAATCAGTGTATGTTAATAAAATATGTGTAAACATGTAGATGTAACCATGGTAACCAAGTTATAGAACGCAGTATTATCTGGCGTCACCCTATTTTCTTGAGTTTCAGGTGCAGTATGACGGACATCACCAAGCTGCTCGATGATATGGCACAAGCTGAGGAATCGAGAACTAAATTAAATTCGTTTGATAATAAGGTAACTAGGATTCTAAACATAATTAACATTTAGATAGTTCTATTGACACGGTCGCGGATGTTTTACTGCTCGCTTGGTAATATATAAAGGGCATTTCATGAAAACATGAACAAGGAGGGGAAAAAATAAATTTCACTTATGGAAAACTACTTTATTGGAGTCTGAATGAAAAAGAGAAGACCAATTAAACTGTAAGACACAAAAAAACCGCTTATAAATTCTCCACTTCGTTTCTGTGTTATCGCGTTTTCAAAATACCCTAAATTGTCATGTTTTACAGGCCAAAATACTCCTATATAAAAGCTGTTTACTAAAAGAGATTGTTGTATTTAATATTCATTAATTCTTGATCTGTAAGGTGAATACCACTTCACTGGGAAGCTGTATGCAAAAATTTGGGACTCCGTAATTTAAAACAGATTCGGATCGGAGCAAGTGCTATTCTACTTTCTCCTGTTTTTAGAGTAAAATTACTTGTACTAAAAAACAAAAAAAGTTTTCTGCTGTGCCACCATTTCATGTTATTTCTTGTGAAATCTTGCTAAAAACAAGCTAACTCCTGATGTACAAGACATAAATGTACTTGTTTTATTTCGATCCATAGTATCAGATCATGTCAATATCAGCGTCAAGTAAAGATACATGTCAAGTACTTTACGTGTCAAGTAATTTACACATATGCTTTTATTCAGTAATGTAGTTAAAACACAACAAGTAACGATTGTCAACAGATAAAAGTTATTTTAAAAAGTGATAATAGATTGGTTTCTGGTCAGAATTTCATTAAAAGAAATCATATAAAAATGGTTAAAAAAAATGGTTTATTGTTGAATAAAATTGACTTTTCGAAAAAATACTTTAACTTTACATAAAATCCCAGTGGCCTGCTGAACACAATTTTGACTGGGAAACATTCGCTACATTAACCCACCTACCTACTCTGTATACCTGGGCTAAATGTGGGACCAATCAGAGGATCAATCAACCAATATAAGGGGGGGCCGGGGGGTCTTCATTCAAAATTCCCTCGAACAATTGACTTTTTAGTTGTTTTCTGATTAGAAGGGTGAGTGATATTCTATCAGATGCTTTTGGTCCCCCATGGAAAAATATTATTCCTAGCCGACGGAAATTATTGTCGGTCAAAGGGTCAGCACTTATGAGTATTGTATTGAGCAAGCGGATTTCATCACGTGTCGGAAAATCGGTCTAAAAAATCTATCTTCTCCTACATTTTTTGAGCATTCACCATGAAACTTTCAGGATTATGTTTAGAGAATAATTTAAAAGACGATGAGCCAGCCGAATTTTGAGATAGCCTTTAAACCTATTTTATTCGATTTTGAAAATCTTGGACTCGTTTTTTGTCGATTTTTGAGGTCCAAGATTTTCAAAAATTGAAATCGGCTAGGCAATTACAATTACACATAACGCTTCATTGACCGATCATAATTTCGTTAGGGAACAATTATTTATCCTGGGACCAAAAGCCTCTTCCCCCTAGCTATCCCTCCCCTCTAATAGTAAACAACATACAGTCCATTTTCGAGAAAATTTTGATTGTAAGCCCCCGGCCCCTTAACTGGCTTTATAGAATTAAACTGTATATCATTATTAATCAAATATTACATAGTTCATACAATTTAGCAAACGAATTATAAAGACAAAGGGGCAGCTTTAAACAGTTAAAATCAAAGGATTGTGTAACAGTGTAAACTACTTGAACAACAAGAGTAACTTACTTTACAAGGAACCAAAGGCTTCTACAGAACACAGCTATTAACAGTTACCAAAACAACCTTTCCAGTACAGGCAAGACATTTGCAGGGTGCATGGAAAAATATTTAAATGTTTACTCCTCAACAACTCTGAAAATTACAATTTTATAATATTTTCCGATCCTTCGTCACGCACCCTCGAGCAAAGCTACTGGAGAAATTATCAACTCGGCAGGTGGTAAAAAATTAACAGAAATGGAACAAAGATCATAGCATTTAATCCTAAAAAGATTTTTCCGTAGTGGGATCTTTGACTTTATAAAACTATGTGAAAAGTGGAAGATAGTCGTTAGGACTTTAGGATAGTTCTAATACATAATAACATAAATATTCAAGTCCCCCTTTTCATTGTCTATTAGTTATGTCTAGTAGCTTAAAACTATTAGAGAAAAATTTATTTGAATTACGTCAATGACTAGAGAAAACGGTTATCATAATTTATGAGAACTAAAAGGCGATGAAGCAATAACTGAATAACCTACCCAAAACGGAATTGGCATGGGAATACGACAGGAAGATAATTGACCATTCATGCATTTTACTTGTAGTTGTACAGCTTGACAGTCAAGCGAAAATATGGAATTTTACTGAATGTGTGCGTTCTAATGAGTTCTAATTTGCAAATTTTTGTGCGTTTTGATTTTCACTGTTCCTCGAGTTGGCTCTCTTTATTATGTTCTGAAACATTTTCACGCGAATCAAACATATCTTGAATGGAGATGAGATTTCAACTAACGATAAAGGAATCATATCAGTCATCATGATGGATCTGAATTTTCAGGAAACTCGGTGTAAGACATTAACCTTGTAAGTTAATTGTTGTGTTATAACTCAACAACCGTGTAATGCATCGTTACATTATGTAACCGTAGTATTAATACGGTGTTGAATAATTCAACCTGAGAGTTCCTATAGGCTGACAATTTGGCGAATTGTTCAGCTTAATTGCTATGTTTTTATCTCCAAATTTGCCGCACATAATTTTAGGCAGGTGCAGGTCGCGGGATCGCATTATTTGCAAAATATTACTCATCTATATGTTGCCTCTACTTAAGCTATAAGGCACACTGATTGCTGTGCCTAAATAAATTAACTGATACAGGTTCAATGTTCAGGTCTTTCAATAAGCACCTGGCTGTACCTCATCTTCCCATTTTCAGTTCTGTGCCCATTCCTGGTTTATGAGTTATGACAGAGTGTTCTGTTTCAGTCTGAACCTAGTTTCATATCACTCAATACCAACTAATAAATCACTAAAAGGAAGAACGCTCTTATTCTACTACACAAAGTAAGGAACATGCCAAGCCTTCTCCCTAAATCCATCAAAGAACTTTTCCCTCACGATATTCCCACCTATAATTCCACATACGAACATAACCTTTCTTGGTTCACAACTTACAACGGCCCAACATTTAGAAATACTCTTTTCTTCAAAGGACCCATGCTCTCTATTACTAAACAAAGTAAGGATATAACTATTCCAAGTTCTACCTTTTCAATTGAAATCTTTAAAAATTCAGCTAAGCGAGAACTCCTCAAGCTGCAAAGCTCAGGAGACGATGAAAATTGGCCAAATTTCTTACTTTATAGTATACCTGGGCTAAGAAAGTCTCAAAGAGAAGGGCGCTCGCAAATAGACTACAGCACCGAGTTAGTAAGCGACAACGCGTAAAGAAAGATCACTCGCAACAAATGACTATGATCTCTTATCAACAACATTGCATTTTAATTTCACTGTCATGATGCAATGCCGAATTTACATCTGCCGCGCAAAACTTTGTATCTATTATTATTAAATAGTAATTAGCATGTTTACAAATTGCGACTCCTACCAGTTTTGCAGACCGTTAGTTATCAGTTATTATATAGTACTTTTAGTACTGGCAATGCCAGTCTGGCATTTATTATAATATATTTTATTTTACATTATTATATTTTAGTGTGACTTCTATAATTTCATTTATCATGTAATTACCATTGATTAATAAATTGCGGCACATGCCAACCTCCACCGTGGGGTTTCAAAAAAAAAAACAGAAAGCACACGTACTGCTGATATATCTGAATTCCTTTTTAATCTGACAGTTATTATATAGGGGCAGTATTGTGGGAAACTCGTTCTCCAAATCCACAGAACTCTACAGTTATATAGGGGCAGTATTGTGGGAAACTCGTTCTCCAAATCCACAGAACTCTACAGTTATATAGGGGCAGTATTGTGGGAAACTCGTTCTCCAAATCCACAGAACTCTACAGTTATATAGGGGTAGTATTGTGAGAAACTCGTTCTCCAAATCCACAGAACTCTACAGTTATATAGGGGCAGTATTGTGGGAAACTCGTTCTCCAAATCCACAGAACTCTACAGTTATATAGGGGCAGTATTGTGGGAAACTCGTTCTCCAAATCCACAGAACTCTACAGTTATATAGGGGCAGTATTGTGGGAAACTCGTTCTCCAAATCCACAGAACTCTACAGTTATATAGGGGCAGTATTGTGGGAAACTCGTTCTCCAAATCCACAGAACTCTACAGTTATATAGGGGTAGTATTGTGAGAAACTCGTTCTCCAAATCCACAGAACTCTACAGTTATATAGGGGCAGTATTGTGGGAAACTCGTTCTCCAAATCCACAGAACTCTACAGTTATATAGGGGCAGTATTGTGGGAAACTCGTTCTCTAAATCCACAGAACTCTACAGTTATATAGGGGCAGTATTGTGGGAAACTCGTTCTCCTAATCCACAGAACTCTACAGTTATATAGGGGTAGTATTGTGGGAAACTCGTTCTCCAAATCCACAGAACTCTACAGTTATATAGGGGCAGTATTGTGGGAAACTCGTTCTCCAAATCCACAGAACTCTACAGTTATATAGGGGCAGTATTGTGGGAAACTCGTTCTCCAAATCCACAGAACTCTACAGTTATATAGGGGCAGTATTGTGGGAAACTCGTTCTCCAAATCCACAGAACTCTACAGTTATATAGGGGCAGTATTGTGGGAAACTCGTTCTTCAAATCCACAGAACTCTACAGTTATATAGGGGCAGTATTGTGGGAAACTCGTTCTCCAAATCCACAGAACTCTACAGTTATATAGGGGCAGTATTGTGGGAAACTCGTTCTTCAAATCCACAGAACTCTACAGTTATATAGGGGCAGTATTGTGGGAAACTCGTTCTTCAAATCCACAGAACTCTACAGTTATATAGGGGCAGTATTGTGGGAAACTCGTTCTTCAAATCCACAGAACTCTAAATTCCGCACTCCTTATAAATATAGTTTGGTTATAGGGGGGATCATGAGTATGTGACTAGTATTCTGTATTTGTAACTTGTAAGTGTATGTACTTATAAATCAAGCGTGGTTAAACAAGCTAACTAGTTTTACGGTGGTAAAATAGCAAAGTGAAAAATCGTTAGTTTCGTTGAAAGATAAAAACATTGGCATCAAAGGAAATCAAATTACATAGTATTATTCTAGTTTCTAATCTAAAACCGTGCTAGATCAAGTAGGTTGAAGCTATCAGGACGTTAAATTCGAGTTCAAAATCTAACAATAATTTTAGGAATAAAATCTAACAATCATTTTTAAAACAAAGTGGGGCCAAAAATTCTCAATAATTTAGTGTGAAATCTAACGATAGTCTAACGATAGTCTAGTTGGTTACAAATACGTTAGTTTCGGTGTCAACTCAGAAAATCTCATGCAAAAATAGGATTTCCGACTCATCATGGGAAATAGATTAACATTCAGTTTTCCGAGCTATCAGAAAATGCAGAGGTTAAAAATGATAAATATATATTAAACTGCTTATCGAGAAATAACATTTATTATTTACAAAACCCGTTATCAACATTTGCACATGCACACTTAACAAATCTAGCTCGTTTAGAATTTAGATCTGTTTGCTGTTCGCCCCAAGACAGTGTTCGTTTTTTCATACTACAGTTCTAATTTTTATGCGAAAATAATTGTTAATTACTTCACGATGTCATGAACAGTGTTCATGTAAAGCAAATTGGTTTTTACATTACACATTCAATTAACTGAAGAAGAACAACTATCCGCATCTGATATTACTCTTTTCTAAAATCTTCCAAATTATCTGTCCAAATTTATCTAGAATTGTCTAGAAAGTTGTAGAATGTTCGAGAAAGTTCTAGAAGGTCTCAGCAGTACGAGCAAGCTCCTCCAGCAGCTCCACCCCCTCCGTTAAGATCTAATCTGTCTGACTGGTAACTGGCATCCCAAAGCTCTGGGGTCTGTACAATCTGATGGAAAATGCATAACTGTTATTTCTACTGTTATTACTGCTTAAATTAGAGAATTTATTATTTCTACTGTTATTACTGTTATTAATTAGGCCGGTTATTCGTAATATGGGTCTTTCGCATATTAGGTAATCACTGAAGGGAGAGAGGGGTTTATAAATAATCACACCTGTGTAATTTTAATTAATAGCTATGAGTAAAACTGATTACAGAGGGGGAGGGGTTCCAGATAGGCCAATAATTTTTGCTAAAATTAGGCCCGATATGTTTGATAGATTAACAATAACAACTGTTAGTTTGAACCGAGATTTGTTAAATGGGTGACTGTAAAATTGATATTGGTGGTGTACAGACCTAAAACTCAGCACGATACAAAAGTCACAAAGCAAGCGATTTATTTAACTCAAGGGTCGACCGAGTCCTCGGCCTCGGCCTCGGTTTTACCGAGGAATGGCGATTTTTCCTCGGCCTCGGTCAGGAGGACAATTCCTCGGTTCGCCTCGGCCTCGGTCAAAAATAGATTCGAAATTCCTCGGCCTCGGCGAAATTTGACGATTTTACCGAGGATTTGACCGAGGATTTTTGTTGAAATTTTGGGAATTTTTCTACAGACTTACAGAGGTTAATGTAAACGAATTTGTAAAATTGAAAATAAAACGACCAATTGACCAGGACACAAAACTAAAAATATCATAGTCTAAGATTCATCGTCTGATGAAATGACAATATCTGAGCACTCTGAATCAGAATAATCTTCTGTGCACAGCTCAGAAGGGGGACAGTCCTCTTTATTTGGGGCTTCAAATTCATTTGGACAGGGGCCGAAGTCGTCCCCAAATGTTTCGATGTTCTTTTTGAGAAACAAGCACCCCTCAAAGTTTGTTGGCTTAAGGCTGAGGCGATTTAACTTCAGGATGTGCCCTGCTGTAGAAAACAATCTCTCTGGTGCTGCTGATCTCACCACGCTTCTGATAGAATATTTCAAAATTCACTGTCAATTACTCAGATCCTGCCTGGGCATTCCCACTCCTGACTCTTGGCGAAAATGCCCCTTCATAATGACTTAATGATTGTAACGTGTGTACACAGTATAGTACACAGTACAATCTGATTAGGTACAGTGCGCTTTTCCTAATAAACAATGCCCTTTTTCCCAACAATTTTTCTGCCAAAATATTCCTCAGCCTCGGCCTCGGTCAAAATTTGCACTCCTCGGCCTCGGCCTCGGTCAAAAAAAAGAAACCTCGGTTGTCCTCGGCCTCGGTCTAGTAACTAACTGTATTTTCCTCGGCCTCGGCCTCGGTCGAAAATCCTGCACTGATTAGCAATTAATTAACTGATTAGCAATTACCTTGGTGACAAGTTCCTCGAAAGCGTCCTGAACACCCTCCTCAGTTTTAGCACTGCTCTCAATGAACAACATCTTGTGAGTTCTGGCGTACCTCTCTCCCTCGTCACGCTGAACATCACGTTGCTGAACAGGGTAAAAATTTAGAACTTTTTTTTTTTAATTTAAAAAAAAAAAGTTTTGAACTTGATTGGGGATTTCGCCTGAAGTGAACTCGGCACTAACGTTGAAATTTTATTTACAAACAAATCATAAAAATATATATAGGCGTACAAAAATCACAAACATGGACTTTTGAATTTGATTGGTTTCGTTTGAACTGTAAAATGTCAAACACAAGGAAATGTATTCAAAGCTCCATTCTATCATTTCATTTCTCGCATTGTAATTTGAACAATTCTTAATAGCAACTTAGTTCTAGCGCCCCACTCATTGGGAAAGTTAGCGTTCCCGTTGCACAAACTAATTCGTCCTTTCTATCCACACTGGTTAATAAATGCTGGGGTGGACGCTAAGGTACGAACATTACCACAGTAAAGAAGGATCCAAAAGTGGCTAAAAATTGGAAAGGAGCTGACTTTGAACTATAAATTATGCGTGCATGAAACTTGAACATTATCTATATTCGTGCAGGATGCTCCTTGCTACCGTGACTTTAGAGATTAAATTTAATTAATTTAATTAATCAAAGTTAACTGAACACTTTGTGAACATGTAGTTCTGATTTAGTACCACTATAGCGAAAAACCAATTTGGAAGGCCAATTACAACACAAGTTAAACAAACCTTATCTATTTTGTTTCCGACGAGCATTCTGACGGCGTTCTGTTTGGTAACGTATGTGTCTATTTCCTGTCGCCACGTATCGAGATTGGAGAAGGTCTGTCTCACGCTCGTGTCGTACACTGAAATGTAGCATTATAAACGTCACCAACAAAGTGGAGATGTGTGGAAAATGAGGCGGTATTGATGAAGTTATGTAAGGGAGGGTCCTATAAAGACATCAATGATGTGCAAGTAATGTTGATGTGGCAGTGCCACTGGCTTTGAGTCAGACGGTTGTTCTTAAAATCGTAGTGCAAGAAAAATTGGTCGCTCCTGGAATTTTTGCTCAGATCATAGTTTGGACCTGAGCCAACAAAGTGAACAACCTGGGACTAATTACTCAAACATGTCGCAACACTGTAAACACAAGTTATTTTAGGCAGCGATCACATGACTTTCAACTACAACGCGCGCGCGGGATGTGAATACTTTGAATGTGAGCGCTTGAGAACTGCATGCGCTCATTGCATCGCGCGCTACAAACATGCAAGCTAAATTCATTAAGATTGCGACCGTAATTTGTGTCATTGATGATTTCATTTTCGAGTACGTAATACGCAATACAATTCCAGATAAATATTGAGGATACAAGGGTATCGAATGCCATCGAAATACTCACCACACGATCATCCGATATCAGTCGAGAAAAATAAATTGAAAAATGAATAAATCAGCTCATTTAATACTTAATAACACGATTCTCCTCCCAGCAAGTATATAGGTTTATTATCTCATAAATTACCTAAAATAACTCCGTGGGCTCCTCTGTAATAACTTGGTGTCAATGTTCTGAATTTCTCTTGACCTGCTGTATCCTGAGAGTTATGTTATCACTGGATTGGAACTTTAAGAATGACTTATTAATTTATATTCATATTCGCATTCCAGTGTTAGTAATCACAGAACATAAAAACGTTCAACTATTTCCATCTTGATGTCGTTCTAGAGTTTAAACTATCAATTGATTAATTAATTAATTAATTACCCATATAGCTAGTTTCACATTGTTTCCCTCAACATTCAGTGTCTTTACTTTGAAATCAACTCCTGTTATAGAAAGCTATTTAAGAAACTTATTCTAGAAAGAAAGCAACAAAGTAAGAACTGGTCACTGGTCGGATAATGAAATATTGCAAATACAGTCAAAATGCTTGTTTCCCTACAATCATATTCATTTCACTGCAGATCGAAACAATTAACTTGACATACCAATTGTAGCAGAAATCTCTGGATCAAACATTCCGTCCACGAATCTCATCATTAACGAACTCTTCCCAATACCGCTGTCCCCTATTATCAATATCTTGAACGTTCCTATGTGACTCGACATTTTCTAATAATTTAGTTGAGTTAGTTAGTTTAGTTATATAGTTGAGATACATAAAGAGAATTACACAAGTTAATTTTGATGAGGCACCAGTAATCAGTATCCACTAATAACAAAGTTAAAAACTAAAAACAGTGTTCAACTAAACAACAACTTTACATAGCTCAATAACTAGATAAGATAGTACACGTCCAATAACAAAGCTCCTGAAGAAATAGAATAGGTTGAAAAGTTACTAATATAAGTGATGAAGGATAGGTTATCGATTTATGTAAAATAACTCTAAAATGCAAGGGATAAAATGAAAGCGAGAACATGAACAAATAGTAGTGTTATAATTATTATTAGAAATTATCACAACTAACTAAGTGGCTAGTGTTATAACTTATGACAATAAATAACTTATATTAAATATATAAGCGTTATCAGTGCATATATTACATAATATGGATATCTATGCTAGACTCTAAGACTAAAATATCCTTTGAGCGGCTACTTATGGACAGAAAGATACCATGAATATGCTGAATTAAATTTCGTTAATATGTTATAACTATATGTACATCTAGATATGAAATGTCTTGTTTGCATAGTTGGCTTATGTCACATCACGCAAATGACTACATATTATTACATACTTGTACTGTACACTGTACACTGTACACTGTACACTGTACACTGTACACACATCGTCGAAACATTTTAGAATGAACTGGCAAGTCTATTGAACAATACAATTTTATGATTTAATTCGATTTATGAAATTGCAGAATGATTAAAGGAACTTTTTTAATAAAACTGCAATAATAATAATTTTCTGTTGTAATTTTTTTACGTTTATAAAAGATTTACATAATCAATCTAACAATTTTACAGATACTGATAAGAAAAAAAGTGGTCATATCAAATATCCCAAATCGGAAAGCGTACGTAAAGATGAGTAAAAACTGTGAAATATATGACTGTGATGTTTTGGTTGTTGCAGTGATGACATAGTGAGGTAGTTCAATTTCGACAGATTTATTAACGTTGTCAATTACTAAATGAGGTTTGAAATCCAACTTAAATCGAATACAGACAACACTATAGAAATTGTAATCAAATCATATGTAAAATCATTTACAAAAGAATAAACAGCGTTACTTGAATCATATTATCCCTAAAAGATCAGAATTTATTTTCCTCGGCGATTACTTATGAATTTAAGAAGCAACTTTTAAATAACACCGTACTTAAATATTAACATTTAACATGTCGTAGTTACAAAAGTGAATGACAACAGTGCGACGTATACTAAAAACAACACCAAACAAATACATTTAAACAACGAAACACGCAGGATTATTCCTTATAATGATATCAACTTATTAACTTACTTTTCATATATTAGGTTATAAATACACCCTAGTTAGTGGTTCCTGTACTGTAGTACTTACCACTGCTAAATAATCAATTAATTAAAACAAAGAAAAATGAATGATAATATTAGTATCAAATTGTAACTAAATTTTGCCGAGCGCAATAATGTGGTTTCTTAAATAATGTTACGGTCTTAATACCATCTTAAAAGGACATTCCTGTTAAAATATAACTAAACAATCTAATAACTTAAAATAAACTATACTTCACATACTAGGCCACACGCCACATGCACAGAAACAACGTAAAAAACTTGCACTTATACACGACAGCTCCGAATGAATCAGTTTGCATACATTACCAGTTCAATGTGGACACTGCATGCTCACAGTACGTATGACAAAATAGTTGACTCGTGGGATATGAGTATAGGCGACGGCATCATCCGATCAGAAACCAGCTATCAGATTACCAGATATACCATTATATGACCGTCAAAGTTTAGGCACGGTGCCAACTAGTTTGTCATCTACTGAAGCTATCATGTGTCAAACCGCTCTGTTTAACGGCAGTTTTCCTGGTGACTTGCTGACTATATGATAACCATTCCGGTCATTATCTATATATATCGACCTCATTAATTAATTACTTAATCGATTTAGTTTCAGCATTCCAGTTCTCGTACATACCACAGGCCTCGTCCAACAAACTGTTGAATCTTGTGGGATCGTCAGCGTACACGTGATGTCCAGCATTTAGTATAAGTTCCACTGCAACTGGGGCCATCCCTTCTCGTAATTCCTGGAATGCAAAACACGCTTTTGTTAAAACGTCTGGAATGTAGGCCATGGCATAGAGAATGTTTGTATTTGCTACTGGTTACTACCATGGTATATTTAACGAGTAATCACCATAAACCTAACCGCTAACTGTACTGAGTGTACAGTGAACATGGTGATCAGTCTCATCAAAACTGGGACAATACAATGTACATTGTACTTGGTAGAAATTCTAATCACAAATATAATAATTTAAAAAAGTTAGTTTTATCTTTCTAATCTACCTGGACTCTGTATCCATTAGTGGGGTCCATCCAACTTTGAGCACCGTATATCATAGTAATAGGCATATCTTTATCTAGATCCGAGATCCTGTCTATTAACGGAAATCTGGCGAATCCTAACTCCAAGTGTAATGATTTAAACGCTACCTCACCGCTAGGATCCTGGTGGAGAAATGTTATTTAAAGCTATTTTTAGAATCCGTTTGTTTTAGGTAAGTTAGTCACTTTGTTAAGTTTGATTTTAAAGTGTATATTATGTACATTTAAATGTTCTGCAATTTGAAGCTTTCCAGTTGAATGCGGACAAAATCTAGAAAATTATCTATAATATCGAAATTTTTCATATTCAGTAATGTAGACGCTACTGCATGAAAGCAAACACTCGAATAACCTATTAGTAGTATGTAGCAAAGACAATATTATATAATATCAATTATTGACGTATTCAATTATGTCATACTCGGTAATGAAAGCAAACACTCGAATAACCTAATAGTAGTATGCAACAAAGACAATATTCACAAATTTTGATGTTTCCTTTATTTCACTTGAAGAAGAATAATTCAACGTAAAATATTCACCTGAGCGTTACAATGGTATATGTAGTTGGGTACTGCGTCCACATCTTTAACGTGTTTATTAAACTTTAGTTTCAGATCAGGTCTCATCTGAGAGGAGAATATTTAAATTTTCCGTTATAATCTGTATTATAAAGGAGTATATTAATGCTTTTCGTACAAAGTTACATAGAATTCTTCATGTTATGCATCCTGGGTTTGCATAAAATAATTCTTCTCGACGAAAACCGTGATTTAAAAAAAGACGGGGGGTATGCAACGACCATTAATGACCATTAATGACCATTAATGACCATTAATGACCATTAATGACCATTAATGACCATTAATGACAATGTCAGTTTTGTCAAAATTTCATCTACTGACATTAATGGTCATGTTTTTTCCGGCACTTCTTAGAGCGAAAAAGACGGACGCCTGCATCACTTAGACCCTACCTTAAGTTAACTAACTACAAGTATATGTTATTATTTTACATTTACAATAATTAGAGATTCGAAAGAGAAAACTTAGAATAGACTCTTCCGTGGTTAGGCAGACCTTCCAGAATATCACTTGAGTGGATTCCAGAGTGAGTTAGGGATTACATTTATTAAGTTCGAATGTAATGAAGAACAAATTTTGCGGCCACGGGATTTAAACCAGGTAACAGTTGGTGACTTATAGTTATCAATAATAATAATTCAAAGGGCAATTTAGGAGTATCAGATCGTATCAACAGTAAAATAACAATCAATAATAAAATAATAATAACACGGGTATTAAAATTAAATACTTCGTTCCCGTTCTTATATCATATCAAGATTTATATTTTAGCCAAATCATTATGCTAGTCGATTATATAGTAATTACACAGTAAATGAACTTATTCAACTTTAGCACTTCATGAAATACATCGTCATCAGTCTGAATCGGACAACAAAAAAGCTGATCTTTTCCTAGGATTAGATAGAACAATTCGTTTACAGTTCAATACTCTGCCTTTGGCAGTTTTGACCCAAAATCGAGCACTGTCATCATGATAGGAACAAATTGATGCGGCAGGAATTCGTCTAGATCTGCAGTTGCCCTTTTTTGAAGCAGAGACACTTATTGATAAGATGGTACCGAGGCAACGAAGGGGACGTTTAGCCTTTTTTGGAACAAAGGTAGCACTTAATGAGTCGCCCTTTCGAATTGTTCGACGTTGACAGGGCTTAGAAGAATTTTTGCAGCCCGGTTGGTATGGCACAGAACCCTCGAAACAGCCGGTACCAAAAAATTTCGATCTCCGACTTTTATTTCCAAATATCGTCTTACGATGGCATAGAAGGTACTGTGAGGAGGTATTGAAAATCCAAATTATCAAAAGCAATCAACACAAATAAAGGAAATCAATACAATTCAAATCCACGCAAACTGCAAACAAGCATGTATACTAAGTCAACTGCAAACAAGCATTTATACTAAGTCAACTGTAAACAAGCATTTATACTAAGTCAACTGCAAACAAGCATTTATACTAAGTCAAATGCAAACAAGCAAACAGACAAGACAAGTTACCAACGTATAACAGAATGGTGCTAGGCACTCATTCCGAAACCGAGGTCCGAGCCTCTATTAGGTGAATATAAATTCGTTTTCTCAAACGAGACTCTGGCAATCGATGTAGGGGGCTGTGAGAAACTTTATAGAAGTGATACAAAGTGATCATAATTGTAAATTTCTTGGACATGTTGCTTCCAAGATAGTTCAGAATTTCAATTATTTAATGACCATTAATGACCATTAATGACCATTAATGACCATTAATGACCATTAATGACCATTAATGACAATGTCAGTTTTGACAAAATTCCATCTACTGACATTAATGGTCGTTGCATCACCCCCAAAAAGACATTATATTATTCATAATTAATTATTATCAAAAGTTTGAACCCCTGACCAGTTTTTGAATAATTAAAAGTTTAAATTCATTAAACCAAACTAATTACACTACTAACCTTGTTAACGAGTTTTGGGCCCAGCGGACCCGCAGCTCTCAGCCCAGAGAATATATTAAAAGGTTTCATAACGTTAACTATAAGTTTCCATCTTAACGGGAGCTGTCTCCTTACTTCAGGTACCTTGGAGTATCATGATGAAAATCTCATACCTTACTCGGGATTATTATGACCGGGATAAAGTGGTGGGTTTAGGGTAATTCCGCCATATTTTTCCCGAACCACATTTTCACCGGTCGTTAATAAACCCGCCTACTCAGCTTTTAGGGTTCCCAAGGGGTATGGGTGCTCATATTTTAATCGTTGTCTTATATTCACTAAAGAAGACTATTGGGACACTTGTTGTAGGTTTTTCGACTTCATTTGGCTAAAATTGCAAAAAATTCACCTTTTTGCCCAATTCTTGTCATATAATATCCTTATTGTCAAATTTGATTTAAATAGGCCAATTTTTAATTTCTTAGGTATTGACTATCTCTACATAATGAAATAGGACTCAAAGTAAAAGTAACAGTTAAATTAAAACTTGAATTAATTAAAACTGATGAAAGGGATGATCCAGATGAAGATAACGAAGATGATTACAACTTATTGGAAGACTAAACAGCTCTCCCTTTATTTTAATATCGATCTGGTTGTTACGCTTCAAATGTTAAAAATTATTTCCCATCTAGTTTGATTAACCACGAGTCATTATTTCTGTCTACTTTCAACAATTATTGATAATTCGACTTGTTTCACAAGTTTTAGCAATGCGAAAATTTCTAAACTTGCTTATCTCTAATAAGGAAATTTACATCTGAGACAAAATTTTTGAATCTAAAATTGAAAGGTTGGACACCGGTAAAATGGCGACCGGGAAAATGTGGTGGGTTTTGAGCAATTTCGCCATATTTTTCCCGAACCATATTTTAACCGGTCGTTAATAAATGTAAGAACCTCGGCCCCCTATTCTTTTTGTCGCTCAGTTAATAACTGAGCACTGGGAGTTGACACTTACACTTCATACCTAGTTCATACCGTGATGGACCGGACGGGACATCTCTAGGAGCGAATGAAGGCTCATTAAGAGTTGCAGTGATAAGGCTTCCATCAAACTGTGGAGCGCGCCAATCACCGTGGCAACCGTACGAATAGCAACCAATCACGGAGCCCCCGAACCGGTGTCCTGACGGCGAAATCTCATATTTCAGTGCACCGGGACAGGACGAGATAAACCGAGCTGATACGACCAATTAATTATCGGACCTCTGAGTTTAAACGGTAAATTAACAGAACCTGGGAGACTATCCGAGATGACGACCTGGACTTCTCCCCACTTCTACTCAGTTCCATTATTCCAACTTCGAGTTGGTCACTCGGCCTCCGATCGTTCCGACACTGACCCTCTGGATCTCTTCACTTCTACTCTGTTCCTGCCCTTATCCCTAAGATGACGCCCTGATTCTGCCTCCGTGCGACTGAAGATGATCAGACTCATCTCCGGCCAGCGATCAGACTCATCTCCGGACTTGTTGAGGAAAGTCGACTCTTTAAGCTGCGGTGGCGATATGCAGATTAGAGAACCAACTCTTCAACTGTCCACCCCTCCTACTCATCCTAAGGTCGGTTAGCTCGGTCGATACTATATTTTATTGTACTATACTATGATACTTGATACTACTTACCTTGATGACCAGATGTTCTGCTGGTCTTTTCATATACTGTCATTAATCGCTTACATTACAACTGCTAAAACTGCTATATTGCAAGTCTCTGAGACTATGATTGAAAGTTGAGTCGTTACAATTACTAAAAGTGTGCAGTGCCACAAGTAAATTTGAGTTCTTGACACAGAAAGCCGTATTTAATCACAAGCTTAACTCGTACAGTTTCAGGAGGATACAAGTTCTTGGCGAATTAGAGTAACACCATACTGGTGGAGACTATCGATCCCGAAGACCCTCAAGCTAGTCATCATTAGAGCGCTCTAGCTACTAGTAGTTAGACCGCAAGTTATTAAGACTTGTAGTCAGTACTATATACCAGGCGTAGTTAGATCCTATACTGGTTCTTATAGGATGGAGCCCTATAAATTGCGTAGACCTAGTGACTAGTTAGTAGTTACTCCCACGGGAGGTTCCTACAAATTGGAGCCTGAAACGAGACTCTGATTCTAAAAGAACTTTCCCACTCAGTAACGAGTTGAGACAATCAAGGAAGACGAATCCTACAGACGGCTATCTCTCCGACGAACTCCGAGAAGGACAGAGAGAATACCTCAGAAGCAAGACAAGACAAACTCAAAAGATCTCTACTCCACATTACGGCGACAAAGTGGATAAGAAGAGGAGAACCCCCGAGAAGAGGCATTGCAGGCCAACAAGGTAAGAGTTGTCGTTCCCTTAAACTCTCAATTTGAGAGCAAGGATAAGGCTGGCACAAGTACAGATTTTTAAAACTTGAATGAGCCATTTTCGGCGACATTTTTTTGGCGAACTGTGAGAGAATATAACGGGCCAGATAAGGCGTTACTAGACCAGTAACTGGTAAGAGAGAGCAGTGAGCACTGCATAATCACTGTGTGTGCAGTTGTTCGTTACCTCGTCAGTTAGTCAGTACGGAAATTTATAATAATATTGTATCATCCATATCACAAGTTATCGCCACAATATTGGTAATCGACTGTTTCTTAAATTATTTAAACAGGTAAAGTCAATCGTTTATGACTACTGTTAAGTTTATGGCTTGATAAACGGCCGTGCACGCCCATTTATGGCGAAATCGAATTAGCACAATTGACGGCAACAGTCATTGCAACTGTATTTTCCAGTTATTTCAGTTTTTCGGCGACAATATTTGCTGTTAATAATTGTAAAATAAGGCGTAGAGTGGGTCCACTTATAGTAACCGAGTGCCGGGCTGTGTGGTTGCTGCTGGGACGGCACATTTTGGGTTATTCAAAAGAGAGGCCAAAGGCAAACCTTTTGTAACGCTCCGAAATGCCAGCATTTACTTCAGGCAACCGTACAGCTAAAACAAATTCTGAGATCGAATATTACTCTTATTCAAATTAACGGCACCAAATTCGGAAGTTGTTTTCAAACAAATTACGGTTACTAAATGGACAAACTTAAAGCCAACCTTGTCAATTCACCCCACCACATGACCACTTCCTCCCACTATTGCGTCAATATTCTTGCTCATTAATCAATATCCACCACGTCTACCCCGTCTCAATCAAAGAGACAAAGCACCGTGTCCAATGCCAACCTACTGATTAACGCGGATTTTTTCACTTTCTCTATTCGAGTGTAATGCCATTATTTGCAACTTGACTTTAAAATAGGCGTGATATGTCCGTGGTTAAACAACGGCGTACATTCTTACATTTTACCATAAAACACCAATAACACTACTAATTTATATAGATCGTTGTTAGTTTAATGAAAAAGGCGGCTGTATGCAGAACTGGCCGAAAGATTTTGACGACCATGCAGTGGTAAGTCTGCATGGCCTTAAAGTTCTGTATTTGTTTTAAACAGGTTAAAATATTCCTTTAATTTCCTTTAATTCCTTGACAAAGATGAAGGCGAGCACCTATACTTGATGACCATGTAGTCATTAATTCTGCATGGCCTTAGTTTGCGTAGTTTACACAGTAGCTCTCACTTGGCGAGACCACTACCTACAGCTTAAAACGCGGACTATATATTTTTACGAGTTATATTCTACGAACCCCCCCTCATTGATCCAAGCAGATTTCTTGCAGCACTTTTGGGTAACACGTCAATTCCATTTTCCACAGTACAATTTGTATAACATTACAGTACACTAGTAAACGAGGACTACTAAAAATTTAACAAAATTTGTCGACTAATATACACCCTCCTTGACCAAATTCATAAGGTCATTTTAGTAAAAGCGACCGTTGAATTACTAAAAGTTTCAATTAACTAAACTCTGATAGTTTTTGATTTTTATAAAACTTGCATTTAAGACCAATGTAACGGGCACAATATGAACGGATTTAACGTACCAGCCATATTATTATTAACTCCAAGGCATTTGCACAAATATTGACGGGTAGATTACCAAAATTTCTGTCTATGCCCAAATTAAATTGATAATTGTGAGTTAACGGTGAAGAGTAAACAGATCAGAATGAGTGGAACTGTAAAATGTACGCAATGAAAGAAGTGTATTTGTGTGTATCAAGATTAAGTACGGTATTATAACTATAATTAACTTTAAGCGCTCTTAGCATGATTACACCGGTCTGCTCCGATATTATTGTTTCTCATGAATCATGGAGTCTGGCGAATAAAGTTCCATATTTTAGTGGCGAACACGTAATGACGTGGCGAATACGACCAGTCCCCCTAAAGTTGTCAGGTACTTTCCTGGAATCAGTGGCACATTCTAAAATAAAGTCGGACAGGCTAATTATATCAGCTGGAGAACTGATCCTTCCGAGTGCCAATTATAGGGAGCGCTATCCGATAATGACAGTAATTTGTACCTCACCAGGGACAGCAATGAGAGATTTTAATATATATCGCAGTCCGAGAACCGAGTCATAATAATATAACAAGTTTGTCTCCGGGCCGGATCATTTAAACACAACTTTACTAACGTCACCCGGGTCAGGCTGCATTCAATATCTCAATGAACATTCGCAGGCTTGCATTTAAAGTAAAGATGTAATCTTAAAGACCTAAAACATGTTATATAATGTAGTCACGTACGGAAACGTACGTGACAAATAACCAGGACACTGAACTAAATAGGGCACCTAAGATTCACAAGTCAACAGTACCTGTGTAGCACAAGTTGAACTGGTAAGTAATGGCGATCGTGAGTATAGACTCAATAAGAGAGACCTTGTGTACGAATGTGTCAGTAAATAAGGGCGAGCGAATGCAATAGCGAAGGTGGTGTGGCAAGGCCTAAAAGACACAGTCAGATAGTTGTCAGCTCGCTGACTGTAAGGGAGAAGGTATATCCGTATTTCGCTGCTACTGATGCAGTCCTTGATCTGGCAATCAAGGCTTCTCTGTCTTTCGTCTAACTATGTACCGTCGGGCTTGTGGAACCCGTAAGGGGGACATACATAGGTTGGAATGGTTTTGTGCACCACGAGGAGTTACAGAAGATGTGTTTACTCAAAGTCACACGCACTGTCCCGGTCACCAAAGGTATAACTATAAGTTGATAAGATAAACCATGAAATCACCACCAATTAATTTATATACTACTTAACAAAGCCCTCAGCGTGGCTAATACGGCGATCCTGGCCGACAACGGAACCGGCCTATATACTATAAATACTTATATTAACGTAAGGTAAGGATAAGTGAGGGCGCACTACAGTGGCCAGCTTAAGCTACAGGAGGTAATTATCAGGTACATCAAATTCATTCACTTATCAATTCACCCATTCACCATTCATCTCACCAGGTAAAAGGTTTCATTAGGCAACTGTAGTAAAGCAACCTCACTTTTATGAATAGAGCTCTTAGAATAGAACTGATGATTAACCGCCTACATTTTAAAGTTGAAATTCGCCGCTATATAAAAGGCACGTGCATATGAACCGCTATATAAATGAGATATTCCGATAAAGCGCTATATAAATGATGATGCTCACCGGTATAAAAAATGGAGATGTGTTTATGTATATAAAGGTTGACCGGTTATTTTATTCCTCCAAAAGTGAGAAGATCGATGATAATTAAAGCACGTTTTGCGGCGCGATATAAATAGCCTGCGGCGGTATAGAAATAGCCAAGTTGATATTGAAGCGGGATGATATTTATAATGATAAATAAGCGGTAGTTTGCGCCTAGTTTAATGAAATATTATATGAGTATAACCAATATGGGCACTGGGCCGTTATATAAAACATTAAAAAAAAAAGTAAGGTGAGTAGTAAGGTAAGCAAAGGTGATCGGAGACAAGCCGTCATTACATTCATAATGATAAACCATCATTTAGTGTAAATTACAAACTTATAGAAAAAAAAACACAGATTCTGGTACTGCAGCCCCCACTGACTTAGAAGTAGTAAATTAACCACAAGCAGCAGTTGAAGCTCCTCAGGCGGACACAACTCTAGAAATAGAGCAACCTGAGCTTAAAGTGCGCAGGTCAACTAAATTGGCGAACAGACTACTTGTGCGTTATAATGTAAATTGTTGTTTTACGGCACGCAAACGGCGAAAATGGTTGTTGTGAACATACTAATACTTTTACGTACGAATTTCAAACTTTTGGGCTACTTTCCGAGAATTTTACGTGATCACATCTTGGGCGAATTTTCGACAATAATAAATGTTATGTTTCTTTCCAAAACGACGATATTTTGGGGAACACTTTGAAAGTTTGATTGAACAAAAGATTGTGGAAATGGAATTGATATATTAACAAATACCAAATATATAAATTTACGTGTTTAATTATAAGACTAATATGTGTCCACAAACTTGAATTATGCTTTAAACTTTTGTCGAGTTTATTCGTAAATATGTGTTACCCTCGTATGGTTCCGCACTATTGAAGTGATCAACTCAATGGTCGGCAATAATTACTTTATTTTTAGGCAGAGTACTCCAGGTAAAAAAAGGGAATACACCTCGCTAGCCCAAAACTCCTAAGTGAGACACCTAGCGATTGGGCAACTGGCGAAAACTTCGAAATTCTTCACAGAATTTCCCCATCTTCTGTATCATAAACGGCGACAGCGACATAAATCAATGCAGATTTTGAAAATCTACAATTCGACACCAGCTGGACTAATTCTACGAACTAACTCGACGGCGATAAAGATAGTGTCCCACAAATCCTCGGAACAAGGTACTTCCCACCCACACATGCAAACCACATCATCAGTGGCGGAAAGAATAATGCCGGAGCATCAGGTGACATTCGTGAAATGGGATCAAAATACCACGAGTGTTAGCTTCGGTAACATAGTGATCCACAGCCCTGAAAACGCGGCACCAAACAGTATCATGTACCGCAAACTACCTCTACTGGCGCCAATGATAGATCGAGAGGATATGATCAAAATTCCGGGGCTGGGAGCAGAGAGCTTGGCGAGAGACGTGGAAAACTTCCAGGAGGACTTACAGAAACTGAAAGAAGGACAGAAGGAGATTGCTACCATGTCGGGTGCACAACCAATAAGTAAAGATACCATAGAAAATATCAAAATGATCCCCAAGTACTTTAAAATGGCATGTATCGTGGGGGTCACACTGCTGACATTTGTGGTATTGAAAATGATCAAAGACTTTGTCGCTCCTAACACTAATATGTGTCCCCCACCGTGTTGCAAGTGCAGGCGAAACTCAACCAGAGTGCACTTCCGAGACCCCGGCTTAGAACGATATGGCGAAGAACGATGCAGTACCTTACCGAGATCAGAGAGCCACATATTATTAGTGGTAAATGCAGGGGAAGCCCCTAAACCGACAGCACCCATCGGACAAGCAGAACAGCAAGATGGCACACTACCCGGACCTTACGCATCACAATACATGTACCCAGGCGGATATCATCCAGTCTACCCTGGCTTACAGGACGAGGAACGCACTTTCCAGTAATGGCGACGCGTGAGTATAGTAGTGTGACTTTTATAAATAGGAGGTAGTTTTCTCTAAAATACCCGTACTTCCAAACCTCTGAGTAGATGTCTGGATACGACCTGGTCATAGGCGTTCCATGAGTAAAACCAATTCCCTCTTTTTCCTTCTCTGCCTCTCTCCTTTACCGTCGAACCTTAGGTCACACTCACTCACAAACTCACTAAAATCTCGGTTCTGCCGAGTGGGCGAGTGCTGGTCCGCCCGAAGAAAGCAGGTTATGGTCTCCCAATCATGGGAACCCTCTACCTGCGATCACCCAGTCGCAACCCTCGGCTTGAATAAATGAGGAAGAAGAAGCTTTTCACAAACCGTGCCTTAGTACTTGCAGTTGTAACTTTTCTTTTCTAACAAATGTTGGCGATATTGTTAGTCATTCAAAAGTCATACACTTAACACCGCACAGCTCCATTCATCAATAACCATTGGCCTAATGCCGAAAACTATTTACGAACTAAAGTAAAAGATAATTGGCGAAATGTTTGTTGTAAAAAAAAAAAAACAAGTTTTATTTTAACTATTTACAACCGGGTTAACTTAAATTATTGCGGCGAAACCACGTTTTTAGAAGTGTATTAATGTATCGACCAAGGTTAACCGGGCCAACAACTCCTAACCATCGTGGATCTCTCTCCCAAGCAACCCTTGATGTCAACCTCCATTCTCCATGTCAACTCCCCGATTCCAAAAACGCAGATAGACTCATGGCGGGACGCCAGTTTGGAAGAAAGGGACGTGTAAGAACCTCGGCCCCCTATTCTTTTTGTCGCTCAGTTAATAACTGAGCACTGGGAGTTGACACTTACACTTCATACCTAGTTCATACCGTGATGGACCGGACGGGACATCTCTAGGAGCGAATGAAGGCTCATTAAGAGTTGCAGTGATAAGGCTTCCATCAAACTGTGGAGCGCGCCAATCACCGTGGCAACCGTACGAATAGCAACCAATCACGGAGCCCCCGAACCGGTGTCCTGACGGCGAAATCTCATATTTCAGTGCACCGGGACAGGACGAGATAAACCGAGCTGATACGACCAATTAATTATCGGACCTCTGAGTTTAAACGGTAAATTAACAGAACCTGGGAGACTATCCGAGATGACGACCTGGACTTCTCCCCACTTCTACTCAGTTCCATTATTCCAACTTCGAGTTGGTCACTCGGCCTCCGATCGTTCCGACACTGACCCTCTGGATCTCTTCACTTCTACTCTGTTCCTGCCCTTATCCCTAAGATGACGCCCTGATTCTGCCTCCGTGCGACTGAAGATGATCAGACTCATCTCCGGCCAGCGATCAGACTCATCTCCGGACTTGTTGAGGAAAGTCGACTCTTTAAGCTGCGGTGGCGATATGCAGATTAGAGAACCAACTCTTCAACTGTCCACCCCTCCTACTCATCCTAAGGTCGGTTAGCTCGGTCGATACTATATTTTATTGTACTATACTATGATACTTGATACTACTTACCTTGATGACCAGATGTTCTGCTGGTCTTTTCATATACTGTCATTAATCGCTTACATTACAACTGCTAAAACTGCTATATTGCAAGTCTCTGAGACTATGATTGAAAGTTGAGTCGTTACAATTACTAAAAGTGTGCAGTGCCACAAGTAAATTTGAGTTCTTGACACAGAAAGCCGTATTTAATCACAAGCTTAACTCGTACAGTTTCAGGAGGATACAAGTTCTTGGCGAATTAGAGTAACACCATACTGGTGGAGACTATCGATCCCGAAGACCCTCAAGCTAGTCATCATTAGAGCGCTCTAGCTACTAGTAGTTAGACCGCAAGTTATTAAGACTTGTAGTCAGTACTATATACCAGGCGTAGTTAGATCCTATACTGGTTCTTATAGGATGGAGCCCTATAAATTGCGTAGACCTAGTGACTAGTTAGTAGTTACTCCCACGGGAGGTTCCTACAATAAACCCGTCGTAATAATCCCGAGTAAGGTATATAACAATGATATAAATCTCTCCTATAACAATGTTAATTCAACCCTAAAACGTGCCATGTAGTAATATTAAAACCGTTATAATATATATTATGTACCTTACTATAGCCCCAGGGGTCCGCTAGTATCAGATGTGCGATGTGTTGGGGGTATTTCTTAGCGTACAGAGTGGCTAGGTAGCCTCCAAAACTGTGTCCCATCAGAGTGAACCGGTCTAACCTGCCCAGGTCAATATCATTACATATTTATATAAATATACGACATATTTCACCCAGATATAATAATATACTACATATTTTTAATGATATTGAACCGGTCTAACCTGTTGTCTTTTCTCCATTGTTCTAGACTGGAGAGGTACTGGTCCTCAACACCTGAACACAGTTGTTAATTATATAAATTAAATAAGTTAAATAATCAATTATTAGTTAAACACTATAAGATTGTTATATATTTTATTGAGGATGTTACAGAGGGTGGATATTTAATGAATATAATGCGAATCCTTATTCTACAATCTACAATCTACCTGTCATGATAAATGATAATGTTATGTGGTTATGAATTATGTGGTTATCTGTGGTTAGGTGAAAATAATTTCACAAACACTAATTTATAATTATTGAGGATGACAGAGATAAGAATGGTTGTACTTTATGTTGTTCGGAAAGTGTCCCTGCTCATGATATACCATCATTAAATTAAATGGAAACTGCTCCGTTGTTTTTCAATCAAAATTTCCATTATGAAAATTATGAACTCTTGAACAATGAACATTAAACCTAAATACAAATAACAAGGGAGGGTAAAGTCAATCAACTGCACGAATACCTAAACGAACAACAACTGCATGTCACTGAAGTGACCAAGAAAGTCTCTGAACGCTGTAAGATACTGGCGTCCCTGGCAGGAAAACAGTGGGGCTGGAGAAAAGAAAACCTGCGGAGGGTGTACATTGCTACCCAGAGGAGCGTACTTGATTATGCTGCAGCTGCTTGGCAACCATGGCTATCTGCTACTCAACTCAACAAGCTAGAAGTAGCACAGAACAAAGCCCTGAGGCTAGTCACTGGTCAATACTCGTCAACACCTACAGAAGCGCTAAGAATCGAAGCTGAAGTTGAAAGCTACAAGACACATAGTGAGCGAATCATCACTATTGCTGCAGAAAAAGCAGACCGACTCCCTTCAGATCATCCAAGGCACGCAGCACTACGCCCTAAAACACCTACCACCCACAGAAGCAAGATCCGTAGTTCCTGGAGAGAGAAAACTAACTCCACCAGAGGGCAACTACCAACTCACGGAAATCCCGTAGAAGCCCTCCCATCTCCATTCCAAAAGCCCTGGGAGAATTCAGAAGAACAGAGGAAAAGGAACTGGAAAGTGTTCACAGCACTTCCAGAGACTCCTATGCTAGTACCCAAATCCCATCCAGCTGTGCCTAACAACCAACACCCTTTCTCCACACGACCAAGAGACACTTTCTGGGACACAAGCGATTCAGCTAACGAAAGCTCTGCCAAAAGACTGACCGCCCAAAGTGCTATTAGAATGATTGACAAGTACGACATATGTACTACCATCTATACTGACGGATCATGTAAAGGTGGAACAAAGGAAGGTGGAGCAGCAGCAGTTATCACCACAGGGTCAGCAGCTAACCCCGTTATACTGGAGACCATCAAAAAGAAGGGAAATAAGTTCACCTGCTCCTATGGTGAGGAGAAAACTGCACTTACGGAAGCCCTGAAATGGATGACAGAGAACCAGAAGTATGATGACACCATCATATGCTCTGATAGCCAGGCATTACTGACTAGCATCGATAGCCTGAACTTAAGGTTTTTTTTTTACATATTTGAAAGATTTACAGATCTGGGTTGACAAAAATTTTCAGAAAAAATCATGTTCGCGGGAAGCAAAAATCCGATGAGTTTTTTAGGGGGGAGGGGTAGGGGGTTGAGGGGGGTTGGGAAGGGTTGTCACATGACGAGAAATTTTTTGCAAAAATTAAACAATCTTTATTTGTTGATATTATTCACCCCTGTTGCCTAGAGTGGTGGGTCTGCACTTGAGAAGAGTGGGTCTGGCCGCTAGAATGGTGGGTCTGCAATCTAGAAGTGGGTCTGGCAACCAGAATGGTGGGTCTGCAATCTAGAAGTGGGTCTGGCAACCAGAATGATGGGTCTGTACCCTTAAAGAGTGGTCTGACAACCAGAGTGGTGGGTGTGCACTTGAGAATAGTGGGTCTGGCAGCTAGAATGGTGGGTATGCAATCTAGAAGTGGGTCTGTTAACCAGAATTGTGGGTCTACACCCTTGAAGAGTGGGTCTGACAACCAGAATGGTGGGTCTGCACTTGAGAAGAGTGGTTCTTGCGGCTGGAATGGTGGGTCTGCAATCTAGAAGTTGGTCTAGCAACCAGAATTGTGGATCTGCATTCGAGAATAATGAGTCTTCACTCTAGAAGAGTGGGTCTGACAACCAGAATGGTGGGTCTGCACTTGAGAAGAGTGGGTCTGGCGGCTAGAATGGTGGGTCTGCAATCTAGAAGTTGGTCTAGCAATAGAATTGTGGATCTGCATTCGAGAATAATGAGTCTTCACTCTAGAAGAGTGGGTCCGGCAACCAGAGTGGTGGGTCTGCACTTGAGAAGCGTGGGTCTGGCCGCTAAATGGTGAGTCTGCACCCTTTAAGAGTGGGTCTGACAACCAGAGTGGTGGGTCTGGACTTGAGAAGAGTGGGTCTGGCAGCTGGAATGGTGGGTCTGCAATCTAGAAGTTGGTCTGGCAACCAGAATGGTGGATTTACGTACACCCTTGAAGAGTGGGTCTGACAACCCGAGTGGTGGGTCTGGACTTGTGAAGATTGGGTCTGGCAGCTGGAATGGTGGGTCTACACTTGAGAAGAGTTGGTCTGGCAGCTAGAATGGTGGGTCTGCGATCTAAAAGTGGGTCTTGCAACCAGAATGGTGGGTTTGCATTCTTGAAGAGTGGGTCTGACAACCAGTGTGGTGGGTCTGCACTTGAGAAGAGTGGGTCTGGCAGCTAGAATGGTGGGTCGGCAATCTAGAAGTGGGTCTGGCAGTTAGAATGGTGGGTCTGCAATCTAGACGTGGGTCTGGCAACATGAATGGTGGGTCTGCACCCTTCAGGCTTAAAGAGTGGGTCTGACAACCAGAGTGCACTTGAGAAGTGTGGATCTGGCAGCTGGAATGGTGGGCCTGCAATCTAGAAGTTGGTCTGGCAACCAGAATGGTGGGTCTGCACCCTTCAGGCTTCAAGAGTGGGTCTGACAACCAGAGTGGTGGGTCTGCACTTGAGAAGAGTGGGACTGGCAGCTAGAATGTTGGGTCTGCAATCTATAAGTGGGTCTGGCAACCAGAACGGTGGGTCTGCAGTCTGCACCCTTAAAGAGTGGGTCTGACAACCCGAGTGGTGGGTCTGCACTTGAGAAGAGTGGGTCTGGCAGCTGGAATTGTGGGTCTGTAATCTAGAAGTTGGTCTGGCAACCAGAATGGTGGGTGTACGTACACCCTTGAAGAGTGGGTCTGACAACCCGAGTGGTGGGTCTGGACTTGAGAAGAGTGGGTCTGGCAGCTGGAATGGTGGGTCTGCAATCTAGAAGTTGGTCTGGCAACCAGAATGGTGGGTGTACGTACACCCTTGAAGAGTGAGTCTGACAACCCGAGTGGTGGGTCTACACTTGAGAAGAGTTGGTCTGGCGGCTAGAATAGTAGGTCTGCGATCTAAAAGTGGGTCTTGCAGCCAGAATGGTGGATCTGCACTTGAGAAGAGTGGGTCTGTCAGCTGGAATGGTGGGTCTGCAATCTATAAGTGAGTCTGGCAGCTAGAATAGTGGGTCTGAAATCTAGAAGTGGGTCTTGCAACATGAATGTGGGTCTGCACCCTTGAAGAGTGGGTCTGGCAATCAGAATGGTACGTCTACACTCTAGAAGAGTGGGTCTGGCAACCAGAATGGTGGATTTTCGCCCTAGAGGGGTGAGTCTGGAAACCAGAAAGGTGGGTCTACACTCTGTCAACCAGATTTGGGGGTCTATAAACTAGAATATAGGAGATATGGCTACCAGAATTGTGGGTTTGGACAACCCGAATGGTGGGTCTTCACTCTAGAATAACAGGTCTGGTGGGTCTACACTTTAGAAGAGTGGGTCTGGCAACTAGATTGGTGTGTCTGCAATCTATAAGAGTGGGTCTGGAAACCAGAATAGTGGGTCTGCAATTAAGGGAATCAAGATGAGTGAATCTGGCAATCAGAATGGTGGGTCTGCACCTTAGGGTAGTGGGTCTGGAAACAAGAATGGTGGGTCAGAATTCTTGAATAGTGGGTCTTCACTCTAGCTAAGAGTGGGTCTGGCAACAAGAATGGTGGGTAAGAATTCTAGAATAGTGGATCTTCACTCTAGAAGAGTTGGTCTGGCAATCAGAATGGTAAGTCTACACTCTGTCAAGTGTCAACCAGAATATACGATATATGGCAACCAGATATATGGCAACCAGAATTGTGCGTCTGGAGTCTAGAGTCTAGAATAGTGGGTCCGGCAACCCGAAAGGTGGGTCTTCACTCAAGAATAGTGGGTCTGGCAATCGGAATGGTACGTCTACACTCTATAAGAGTGGGGCTGGCAACCAGAATGGTAATTCTTCACTCTGTCAACCAGAATTGGGGGTCTATGAACTAGAATATAGGAGATATGGCAACCAGAATTCTGGGTCTGGACTCTAGAATAGTGGGTCTGGCAACCAAAATGTTGAGTCTGCACTCTCAATAAATGTTTTTGCCATGAAACGGACCAAACTGATCCTAACTCATATTCCACTCATCATAGCATATCGCTTCAGCATGTACAAAGGGCATAACCTCAATCAGTTTAATGTAGTGAAATGACTGGTGTGAATAAAGTAGTGTACTAATACAAGTTGGAGAGGATCAGGTAAGCTTAGTCAGCATCCATGATGTTACAAACCCTCTGGGACATTACTGCGCCCAGTCTCCAAAGTTACAGTAAATTCCTACTACGGACAAACAAACACAGACAAAACACCAACAAGAAACTGATATACACTAGCTAGCTCAGAGAGGAAATGAGTACCGGCTCAGGAGGTATGTCAAAACAGGGCGCCCTTTCGAACACTACTCGGGCTAGAATCAGTGCAATTCGGACACTACTATGCAACTAAACCATGCAAAACTATATAAGTACACCTATGCTGGCAAGGCAATAGGTCAGACTGCCAGTCCTGAAAACCAGTTCTATGATAAGGGTCACGCAAGCCCCGAAGGGTTAATACAAAATCAATAAATGTTTTTGCCATGAAACGGACCAAACTGATCCTAACTCATATTCCACTCATCATAGCATATCGCTTCAGCACTCTAATAGAGTGGGTCTGGCAACTAGAATGCAGACACGTAGCCAAGGGGAAGACCCCCGGAAAAAATTGAACCCCAAAAAAATAAACCCCCTAGTCCCCATGGTCGCCTGGTAAGTGGGCTGTGTTTATGACTGTTTGATTAAACGACACGACAGGCAATCGACTTTAGCATTTCGTAAATTATTCCCAAATCCCACTATACAATATGTACTTATTCCATTCAATGTGACAAGTACTGAGTTCCCCCCTAGCCCCCAACTTTGTATTATTGTGATGTCTGAAAGTACAAATTTCTAATGCCAAATGTCGTCTGAAACACCCTATTTCTCAAAAATTTTCCGGGGGCTGCACCCCCAACTTTGTATTATCGCCGTCCTACAAATTTCTTTAATGCCTAATGTCGTCTAAAACAAATAATTTCTAAACATTTTTTTGGGGGCTGCCCCCCCCCCCCCCCCCCCAGTCCCCCAACTTTATATTATTGTGATGTCTGATTATTACTGCGCCCCCCCCCCAGCCCACCAACCTTGTATTATTGTAATGTCTGATTATTGCTGTCCCACAAATGTCGTCTGGAACACCCTATTTCTCAAAAAGTTTCCGAAGGCCAGGGCTGCGCCTGCCTAGCCCTCCAACTTTGTATTATTGTGATGTCTGATTATTACTGTCCTACAAATTTCTTTAATGCCAAATGTCGTCTAAAACACATAATTTCTCAAAAATTTTCTGGGGGGCTGCGCCTTCCCCCTCCCTAGCCAACCAAAGGAGCTTCGCCCCGTCTACGTGTCGTGTCGGGCTACGTGCCCAGAATCGAAAAAACTTAATCTTTAAATGAATAACGGAACCTTCATTATGAAGTTACGAAATGATAATATAATTGGGAGGCAAAGTGGGTATCGGGCTTGGGGCTCATAATGCGCAAAATTTGGCCGCTGTCGAGTGGGTCTGCCTAAAATTCACAGATCTAGCTATGGGTCTGAGACATTTGTAAAAAAAAAACCTTAGCCTGAACCCAGACACACAGGATATCAGGAAAACTCTGGAATCACTCCATGGGACAACGTACCTGCACTGGATTCCCGGCCACTCCAACATTCCTGGGAACGAATACGCTGACAAAGCAGCAAAGGAAGCAGCACAACTCCCGGACCTGGGCCAAGGACAGTCTACAATCTCATACGGAGTTGCCAGAGCAGTAGCAAAGGCTCACATCAAGGATAGCGACCCCCAACACCACCTGGTCTCCCAGACTTACAAGGGATACAACAGAAAAAGAGCGGACAGTAAAATAGAGAGCAGGAAAGACGGAGCGCTGCTAGCACAACTCAGAGCAGGCCATTGCCTTCACCTGTCCCACTACAAAAATAGGATCGACTCTACAAAGAGTGCAACTTGTCCCCGTTGCGGAGAAGAAGAAGAAACGGTACCACACTGGATTCGGTGCCCTGCAACGATCAGGACGAGAGAAGAAATCTTCGGAAAATCTGACTTAAACTTGGACATACTAACCACCAACCCGATAGAAATCCTGGCGTTTGCTAAGAAGACCTTGCTTGAGGGACCCTTAGACGCCTAGCCCATCACTACCACCACCACCACAACAACTGTACTCGAGAAGCAACACACTAACACTGTTAGAAGCAAACATAAAGACATAAGACACAACCTCTAGAACATTCCCTCAGCATTACTAACACTGCACTTTATTATCATATCATAGTATTACAGACACACAAGTATAACTGCAACGTCAGGGAAGGTTAAAATGCCTCACATACCAAGTATGAAATACATTTACGTACATTTACGTACAATTACGTATCTATCAACAATAAAATGGAAGATGTAGTAACTTTCGACGACGTACTGATTGAGTTAGAACCGACAAAGTTAAGCACATAACATTGCCATTTTATTTTTGGCAAAGACCCAACATTTTGCAAGTTACTTGTGAATTGTAGATGACACCCTTAAAATTTTAAATTTTATAACATTTATCCAACTATATAATACATACCTAGTTACTAAGTTTTTTTGTTGAGTAACAGCCAAGTTTTGAGTAAAATTGAATCACGTAGAAGCCAAATAATATGTGAGGTTTATTGAAGCACTAACCAATAACAGAGTACTAACAAGCACTAACCAATAACAGAGTCAGGGAAACTCGGTCGTGAGCTCCTCCCGAATCCCAGCAAGTCTAACGCATAAACTTTTCTATTTTTAGCAACAGTATCCAAGTTAAGAACCCAGATTCCAATACCAGCCCCCATACCGTGCAGCATTACAAGAGGAACTTTGTTTTCGGGTACCTCATTCTTTGTTTGTAGTGTCCAGATCTTACCTGGGAAATATTGGAATGTCAGAAATGCTGTGGAAATTGGAATGAATGTTCAACTCATTGGAAATCAATCTAGTTAATTAAAGTAATTGAGTGCGTAGGTAGGTTCTTATCAAAAGCAGTCAAAAAGATTTCATACGTCGAAAAAGCCGTGATCTATTTATAAATTATTTAGTTGCGTAAGTTAATTAATAAATTAATTTCATATTATATTCAAGTTATTACCGAAAGTAGTGAGAGTATTGTATAGTTTGAGTGGGGTTTGCACGAACTTTAACACTCTTTTCTCAGCTAGACCCAGGTCTGTTGAACTGGTGGGGCGCCATCTAGGTAGATATGAACCTAAACCTGTAGTGTAGATCTGGTAATTATCATAATTACTTTTAATAATTAAAGAAATTTAAGTTAATTACAAAATTAAAATTTATCAGGTTATTATGATAGTTCGTATTAATTAAATTGAATCTGGTAATCCTTAAAAGATTTAGGTTTTTACATGCACCCATGATGATAGTTCCTAATTGATTAAATAACAAAAGTTTATTTTTTATAAAAATCTTACCAAACATCGGCAAAGCCTGTAAAATAGGGCCGTCACGAAACATTGTTAATAAAAAGTGTAAAGAGGACCATTTCAATATATAAAACTTCATTGTTGAAATCACTCTGGAGCCATTCATCTTAATTTATAAACCCCAGAACAATTATAATGAAAACAATAGAACAGTCTAGAAGGCGTCTAAATTATCTACATTGCTCGTTAAATTGTATCGCAAGTTTTTAAAGTTTAAAGTTTTCTCGCCTTATAAAAGACCACGATGGGTTCAAAGTTAATATTATATATTTTCCCTTTATTGTCATAACTATCTAACTAGAGACTCTATCATCATCTGACCCATCACATGATCACGTGACCATATTAGGACAATAACAGTTTACAAAATGTTCACAACATCGACCATTATATTATCATTGACAAAACTATAAGCTTGGTAGAACGTGTAAACTATTATAAAATGGCTAACTAAAACGCCAAACAGTAAGCTATAGTAAAATGGTGTTCCTGACCACAAAGAGATAAAACCACAATTAACCTTGCCGTTTTATTTGATGTTTTAAATTATCGAGCGTTATGTTTTGATGCCTTGAACAGGTAAACCAATGATATTCATTATACTAACTATCCTGGGTCTGGGTCTGAATGTGTCCACACAGGACGGACTTGAAATTCAGAACCACCTGGCAGTGGAAAAACGAGCACAGCATGAACAATTCGGTACAAACTGGTGCAGACACGAGGAGAAACGTATCCACCTGAATAATGAGGGAACTGGTGAAGAAGCAGGGTACTGTGTAGGAAACGGTTATATCCACGCCGAATTCAAAACACTGGACGAAGCTAAGGAGGCATTTGATCGGAGACCAATGGATACCTGCGGGGGTATTTCTCTGGATATAGATTTGAAGTTGTACACTTTGAGGAGTGGTCCTGTAGTACTTGAGGAGAGTTTTATAAACGAGGTTGCTTGGACTCCTTGTACGGAGGAAGAGCAGATTAAAGTGGATGCTGATGCTGGGAGGAACGATAACCAGGGAGGTTGGTAATTTGTTAACTTTTAATTCATTTATTTGATTATTTAATTATTTAATTAATTAGTTAAATTGTTAACTAAATTGTTAAAAATTTAACCATTACTATTATATCTGTTCACGATTTTGAAGATATTATGAAAATATTCCCTCAAAGTCTTAAGTTATAAAGACTTCGTTTCATGTATTATATAATGACCACCACATCCTCGTCTGTGAAACTCAAGTGAATATTTGCAAATATTTGAAATATTTGAAACATTTGTAAAATTTGAAATATTTCAAACCCAGGATGGGATGTGTACGACGGAAGATATCTGGGAGGGTATTGTACTTCAGACTATGCTTACGATACTCTAGACGAATGTAAGGAAGCATACAAACATACTAATCCACCTGGCAAGTGCGGCGGTATTACCTACGAGAATGTCAAAGCAGGTGAATACAATTCTACAATTTGAAGAGAAACGTATTGCATTAAACGAACCCTAAAGAATACATATTTTAAGGGAGGTTACCTTTCAATATAAATGTAAAGTAGCACACCCTTACAATAATTATAGCTGACTAAATATAAATCTATGGTCTCTATGTCAGCCTAACTCTATATTCTCATTTCAGGAGAGTACGTGTTAAAGGTAATGTGTGACGACACCTCAACCATCTACATAGACGGTCAAAAGAAAGACGTTCCCGGACCCAACAACTGGGGCCAACTAGCAACTCTGAAAATCCCAGCTTCAACCAACACCATCGGCATCCAATGTCACAACGGCGGCGGATCGTGTGGCATTACAGCTGAAGTCACGGACGAAACAGGGCAGGTTTTACTGGTGTCTGATAACTCTTGGAAGTGCTCAAACAAAGAGGAAGACGGCTGGACTGCTGATGGTTTCACTGAGGACGACAGTTGGAAACCAGCAGCGGAGAACCGGCCGTTTATAACTGGGTGTTATCTTTCTGATGAGAGAGCGTGGAAGGGCATGTCCATGGATAAGAAGGTTATCTGGACTGAAAATAAGGATTCCACAGTTTACTGCCGTAGAGAATTGCCACAAGGTATGTTTGATGAGTTTTAGCTAATTGAACTAATTAGTTAATTAGCTAATAAGCTAATTGGGCACTTTCTGAGCTTTTACATAATTTTATAAAACACGTACTACTTTCATTGCACTCGACTAGTCGACCAAGTTCTCTGCACATGACTTACTTTATAATGAACAATACACTTCTTGTTTAGTCGCCTAGTTAACAAATGTTGTATGGCACGCCGATCTGGATCGTAACAGATGCAGAAGCTTATAACTGTGTTTGGCATGGTGTTTTACTTATCGATAAAGTCATGGTATTTACATCGAATAGGCTAAGTATAATAAGTAACGATGCGTAAATTTGTTCAATATTTCAGGTAAATACACTCTACGACAAGGAAGAGACCCACAAGATAGTCCAAACGGGGCTGTCACGTGGTACCCTATGAGAAATGGTAGTTGGAAAGAAGATTCCAAGACGCAAAAGGCTGAGAAAAAGAAGGTAGCACGAGAAAAAGAAAGAAAAGCCAAGGAAAAAAGTGCGGAAGCTAAATTTACAGCAGATACAGGTAAGGGAGGAATATACGAAGGAAGGAATTTACGAATACAAGTTTAAGTTTCTTTTTTATCAACAAACTGAGCAAACTTACTTTTACCTTTTTACTTATTTTAACTTCTTTTAACTTATTTTAACTTACTTTGACTTTCCTTAACTTACTTTTAAGTCACAAACGTAACTTACTTTTTCAGAGATAGATATCTCGCAGGAGTACACAAATTTAGCTCTGAACCAGCAAGCCGAGCAAAAAGACACCGTATCAACTAGAACTGCCTTAAAAGCAGTAGATGGTAACCGGGATGGCAATTGGAGGTTTGTCACTAATTATACTTAATGATGTTTCCATAATTAATTGTTTTATTTAATCGTTCTTCAAATACTCGTGTTTGTCTGTTGAGCAATCTCTGCAGAACTAAAATAAAAACAAACGGTTTAATTTTATCATATTGCCCGTAAAATGGCCGTTCAAATATTCCATTTGTTATTTTTAACTTCTCATTGCCAGTGGCAAGTCGCTCTCCAGCACGCGCTCAAAAAATGGCTGGTGGAGAGTAACACTTAGCAAAGTATATTACATTTCCTACATTGATGTCTACAACCGGATGGATAAAAGCCAGGAGAGACTGAGAAATGCCCAACTATCCGTGGATGGAACACTTATTGGGACTATACCACAGGTCTCAGGGGTGCAAAAATACACATTCCCTGTTGATAAAGATGGTATGTTATAACACTTATTGGGACTATACCACAGATCTCAGGGGTGCAAAAATACACATTCCCTGTTGATAAAGATGGTATGTTATGACTCCAAATTTCGATCAAATATCATCATGATCGACTCTATGATTATTGTGCAAAAAACAACACGTTGGTATTCGAGTTCCAAGGGAGAATTTCAAAACTGCATTTCCAGCGATAGATGATCGTAAAAACTAACAGCAGCCTCAATATAGGGCAAGTGGTTCAGATAAAAGGAGTTTCTGGTCAAAAACTTCAGCTTGCAGAGGTTGAGGTATACGGCCGCGACAGTGAATCAAAAAGTGGTGAGTAGAAATTTTAACTTTAAGTATAGAAACCAGACTTAGCTCCACAACTCAAAGGATGACCCAACAGCAGAGAATACTAAATTACGAAATGCGTGATTTTAATCGACTTTTATCTTTTTATTTAAAAGTTGTTATTTTGTCAAAAAATTTTCTTCAAAACTCTCCACAACCTGATACAATCAGCTTTAAGGAAAATAAAGAAGGACTGGAAATTTACGGGTCAATTGTATACAGGAATTCTGTCTTCTTCAAAGGACCACTGTTGTAAAATATTATTTCAAAACCAGAACCAGCTTAGCTCTATATTCTCATTTCAGGAGAATACGTGTTAAAGGTGATGTGTGACGACACCTCCACCATCTACATAGACGGTGAAAAGAAAGACGTTCCCGGACCCAACAACTGGGGCCAACTCGCAACTCTGAAAATCCCAGCTTCAACCAACACCATCGGCATCCAATGTCACAACGGCGGCGGATCATGTGGCATTACAGCTGAAGTCACGGACGAAACAGGGCAGGTTTTACTGGTGTCTGATAACTCTTGGAAGTGCTCAAACAAAGAGGAAGACGGCTGGACTGCTGATGGTTTCACTGAGGACGACAGTTGGAAACCAGCAGCGGAGAACCGGCCGTTTATAACTGGGTGTTATCTTTCTAATGAGAGAGCGTGGAAGGGCATGTCCATGGATAAGAAGGTTATCTGGACTGAAAATAAGGATTCCACAGTTTACTGCCGTAGAGAATTGCCACAATTGCCAGATGGAAAAGAAAGTACGGAAGTTAAATTCACAGGAAATGCAGATGGTAATTTTAATTTACATCATTAACCATAATTACATCACAATCATATCTATTCACAATCCTGAAGATATCATGAAAATATTCCCTCCATACTCAAAAATACAAAAACTTCGTTTTATTTATGACCAACTCATCTGCGCAACTCAAGTGAATATTTGTAATATTTTCAAACCCAGGGTGGGTTAAGTACGAAGGGAAATACCTGGAGGGGTACTGTACTTCTAACTATGCCTACGAAACATTTGACGAATGTAGGGAAGCTTACAAACATACTGATCCGCCTAGCAAGTGCGGCGGTATTACCTACGAGAATGTCAAAGCAGGTGAATACAATTCTACAATTTGAAGAGACGAGTTTATAAATGTTGCATTACGAACCCAAAGAATGCATTTTCAAAGGATATATTGGGTATATTTTTATCAGGGGAGGTACTTGTTACATTTCAATACAATCAAATTAAATTACTAACACACCCTTATATAAATATAATAAATAAATTCTAACATTTATTACACGCTTCGACATTAAAATATACCCAACAAAGATGTACATTAAAGTCATTCAAGCGAGACTTAGTGTTGAAATAGCAAGATTATGGACTTTTTAAACAGTTCAGATTTTATGAACAAATATTTGTATGAAGTTACCAAAATTATGCACTTTCAATTTTCATATCAGTTCAGACATTATGGACAAATATTAGAAATATTATCAAAAGCTAGTTGGAAATAAAACGTCTTTAGGGCATTTTTAAAACATTCTACAGATGATAATGATCTCACTGAGTAGGGTAATTCATTCCAAATTTTTGGTCCACAAAACATAAATGCAGCATCTGTTCGTCTGAAATGAGGAGCAGGAGGAACTTTCAACAAATAAAAGTCATCATCTAGTCTGGAACTTTGTCTTCGTACTTCCCTTAGATTGACGTGTCCTTGTAAGTACTGAGGGGCTATGTTATTAAGACACTTGAAGACCAGAAGTGATATTTTGAACTTAATTCTGAACCGAACAGGCAGAAAGTGGAGCTTTTTGAGGTAAGGCATGATAGGTTCACGTATCTTTTTTCCGTAAAGACCAAAGATAAATCTAGCAGCATTGTTCTGTATCTTTTGTAGCTTATGAAGATTCTTTTCTGTTATTCCATAATAGACTGAGTTGCAGTAGTATATAATAATTATAGCTGACCAAATATAACTATATAAATTTAAAACAAAGACCTGCAGTCCCCATGTCACTTTAACTCTATATCACCTCTCATTTCAGGAGAGTACGTGTTAAAGGTGATGTGTGACGACACCTCCACCATCTACATAGACGGTGAAAAGAAAGACGTTCCCGGACCCAACAACTGGGGCCAACTCGCAACTCTGAAAATCCCAGCTTCAACCAACACCATCGGCATTCAATGTCACAACGGTGGCGGATCATGTGGCATTACAGCTGAAGTCACGGACGAAACAGGGCAGGTTTTACTGGTGTCTGATAACTCTTGGAAGTGCTCAAACAAAGAGGAAGACGGCTGGACTGCTGATGGTTTCACTGAAGACGACAGTTGGAAACCAGCAGCGGAGAACCAGCCGTTTATAACTGGGTGTTATCTTTCTGATGAGAGAGCGTGGATTGGCATGTCCATGGATAAGAAGGTTATCTGGACTGAAAATAAGGATTCCACAGTTTACTGCCGTAGAGAATTGCCACAAGGTATGTTTGATGAGTTTTAGCTTATTGAACTAATTAGTTAATTAGCTAATTGGGCACTTTCTGAGGTTTTTTTATAAAACAACACGTCCTACTTTTATTGCACTCGACTAAGTTGTCTTGCACATGACTTACTTTATAATGAACAATACTTTTCTAGTTTAGTCGCCTAGATAACAAATGTTGTACATGGCACACCGATCTGGATCGTAAATCAACTGTTTACATTAAGTCACGGTATTTACATCGAATAGGTTAATTAAAGATATGGTTGTAAATTTGTCCAATATTTCAGGTAAATACACTCTGCGACAAGGAAGAGACCCACAAGATAGTTCAATCGGAGCTATCACATGGTTTCCGAAGAAGGATGGCAGTGGAAAAGGACAGGAAAAAGATGAAAAAGAAAAGAAAAAGAAAGGAAAGCGTGAACGAGAAAGAAAAGCTGAAATAGAGAGGGTAGCAAAGGAAATTGAGGATAGAAAAGCTGAAAGAAAGTTAATAGAAAAGGAAAAAGCTGACGAAAAACGTGAAAGAGAACAAAAAGCTGAAATAGAGAGGGTAGCAAAGGAAATTGAGAATAAAAAAGCTGAAAGAAAGTTTATAGAAAAGGAAAAAGCTGACGAAAAACGTGAAGGAGAAAGAAAAGCTGAAATAGAGAGGGTAGCAAAGGAAATTGAGGACAGAAAAGCTAAAAGAAAGTTTATAGAAAAGGAAAAAGCTGACGAAAAACGTGAAGGAGAAAGAAAAGCTGAAATAGAGAGGGTAGCAAAGGAAATTGAGGACAGAAAAGCTGAAAGAAAGTTTAAAGAAAAGGAAGAAGCTGACGAAAAACGTGAAGGAGAAAGAAAAGCTGAAATAGAGAGGGTAGCAAAGGAAATTGAGGACAGAAAAGCTGCAAGAAAGTTTATAGAAAAGGAAAAATCTGACGAAAAACGTGAAGAAGAAAGAAAAGCTGAAATAGAAAGGGTAGCAAAGGAAATTGAGGACAGAAAAGCTGAAAGAAAGTTTATAGAAAAGGAAAAATCTGACGAAAAACGTGAAGGAGAAAGAAAAGCTGAAATAGAGAGGGTAGCAAAGGAAATTGAAGACAGAAAAGCTGAAAGAAAGTTTATAGAAAAGGAAAAAGCTGACGAAAAACGTGAAGGAGAAAGAAAAGCTGAAATAGAGAGGGTAGCAAAGGAAATTGAGGACAGAAAAGCTAAAAGAAAGTTTATAGAAAGGGAAAAAGCTGACGAAAAACGTGAAGGAGAAAGAAAAGCTGAAATAGAGAGGGTAGCAAAGGAAATTGAGGATAGAAAAGCTGAAAGAAAGTTTATAGAAAAGGAAAAAGCTGACGAAAAACGTGAAGGAGAAAGAAAAGCTGAAATAGAGAGGGTAGCAAAGGAAATTGAGGACAGAAAAGCTGAAAGAAAGTTTATAGAAAAGGAAAAAGCTAACGAAAAACGTGAAAGAGAGAGAAAAGCTGAAATAGAGAGGGTAGCAAAGGAACTTGAGGATAGAAAAGCTGAAAGAAAGTTAATAGAAAAGGAAAAAGCTGGCGAAAAACGTGAAAGGGAAAGAAAAGCTGAAATAGAGAGGGTAGCAAAGGAAATTGAGGATAAAAAAGCTAAAGTAAAGGCTGAAAAAGAAAGAAAAGCAAAGGAAGAGTCGGAAAGACAAAGAAAAGAAAGAGAGCAAGCTGATAAGGAAAGGAAAGAAAGAGAACAAGCAGATAGGGAAAGAAAGGCAAGAGAGAAAGCTGAAAAAGAAAGAGAGCAAGCTGACAAGGAAAGGAAAGAAAGAGAACAAGCAGATAGGGAAAGAAAGGCTAGAGAGAAAGCTGAAAAAGAAAGAGCGGAAAGTGAGAGGACACAAAAAGAGAAGTCACCTGAAGCATTGAACAACGGAAGGTACTGTGGTTGGAGGGAAATACCGAATACGAAACTAAACATGGGTCTTGCAGGAAGAATCATGAATAGGCTAAATCTTGAGGATGCCAAAGCCTTGTGCTTAAAAACAGAAACCTGTCAGGGAGTGGCCTGTAAGAATTTTGAGGAATGCCTACTCAGTTCATGTACCAGTAAAGGAAGGAAATACTTTAAAGGGTGGACAACTTATGTTCCGATTCCATGTGAATTTGAGACCGAGGGTTTTGGCAAGAAAGCTTATGTCGCTTTTCAGGATGCATTTTGTGGTTTTAAAGCTTGTCTTGTAGACAGATTCAATTATTATTTTGGGATGTAAGTATGTAAGGCCAAGGGGAAAACAAAACATCACTTTGATGGTTAAAATAGAATTTGAAAATTTAGTTATTGATCAGTGTAACTAAATTTCATGTTTAAATTGAGATTTTCATGGAAATTGATGCATTTTAATTGTAATCAAGTAATCAATCAAGTTAAATGAGTTAATGTAGATTTTACCTGAACTTTGTGAATCGTCATCTCGTTCAATTTGGTGGTCATGTGCAGTCATGTAATATTGCAGTCTACCTTTCCTATAAAATGAAAAATTTCAAAATGTTAGCTTAAGTATTTCGATACAATATCACAACGAGGTTTGTCAAACGACAGTACAAATTATATGAAATTTATTGCTGCATTATTTAACAATGTTTCACCTCCACAACACTCTGTCATAAAACATGTATCATCAAATTTAAATAAATGTAATGAATATTATGACTCATATATGAACCTAATAACTGTCATGATCATGACATGGCAAAAACATAAAAATGCAACAAAAAACTGTAAGTTATGAAATGTCTAAGTATAATATTAAATTATGTAATATCTCGTTGAAAGATAACAAAAACGTAATTTGATTTGGGGTGTGGTCTATAAATTTCTAGCCAAAATCTGGGAATGATGATCTTCGAAAGGATATAACATAAATGCGAAGAATATTTACCGTTCTTAACTGTTCAATAATTTTAGATTGATTACAACATATTATGGCCTCTTACAATCGAAATCCCTTTGTTCTTTTGCCATCTGAAATTAGGAAAGAATGTCATTGTGTTTCTTATATTAAAAAAGGGTCAACTAATTTATTAATTAACTAGTAAGATCAAGTCACTATCCTGATTATTGTATAATGTATAATATCATACACGAAACTTTTAGTTGGCTGTTGGGCTGAATATTTAGTTTACTTTGTTTCGATCGAATGATACACTTATTGCAATGAATATCTTATTGACTTATTTGATCAACGCATTATTTAAGTCTTCGTTCAACATTTTATGTAAATAAAACAAAATTGTTTACAAAACTTACATAACTTACCTCAAAGGTTCAACAAATCCTTAAATTATAGAAGGATGAACAAATTAAATACTCTTAGAAATAATTCCTTGCATGCCGTGTAAAAAAACCCTTCCCCACAAATTGTTAAATGTCATCTGATGACCATAACCTTAGTAACATCATTGATTCACAAGGTTTAATATTATTAAAAAACATTTCCAATAAAGTTTAGAATACCATTGAAAGATATGACACTTTTACAGTCTAAGACCAACTTCATAATTCCAAATCGAATGAATAGATTTTCTGAAAATTTATTTATTGAGTAATTGGAATAAACAATAATATATCTCTTGCACTAAGAGAAAAAAATCTAGAAGATGTTTCAAGAAGATATTATTGTCTTATTCTGCTAAAAACTATCAACGAGCATTGCTTTTAAGACTGTAAACAAATTTACAAATTCACTTTGGCAATAGATCTTTTAGGACAATAAAAAAGGCTCTAAAGATAATTGTCTGAGAAACAGATCTTCCACTCAGTACCATACTATCATGAGAACGATAATTGATAATTATACCGTATACCTACTAAAATCGATCAATCAATTAATCTATAAGGATCTACAACTTCGTATCCGAAAACCAATAATCTGTACATAAAACTAAAATCTTAGTCTGTCATCAATCAAGTGCCATCTCAGTTTCTGAGCTGTGCCAATCGGCGAGTCAGTGCATCTTCTTGCTGGTTGCTGACACTAGTAGAGCTAGAAGCCACACCAATTGAGTCAGTTGGTGCTGTTGCTGCGTCAGACAGCATGCTTGTCATTTCTAGACCATGCTCATCAGCAACTTGTTGTATGAGGGAATCAACCTGTAGAATTTGGTTATATTGTACTGAAATTTAATAAATAATCATGTTGAACTACCATAATACAAGCAATAAACTAGTTCTCAAATATTCCACTCAGGGTACGGATGCGTACAGAGAGTTGATTTGAAAATATAAATTCAGTGAGACTAAAACCCACCTGATCTGCAGGAGTAGAGAGTGTTGTGGCATTGCCCATGCTCTGATCCATGGCATTAGCTGCAACATCTAAGTTCTCTGTTTGACTTTCAAACTTATCCATTATTTCTTGTACCTGTTAATAGATTTTAAGTGATTTCCCTTGAATCTACGGAGAATAAACCTTGAAAAAATTCATTGAAGGGTTACCTTCAGCATAAATCGTAAATTTTAATCGTTTAAAGTCTTCTTTTGTTGTGAGAACAACTTGTTTAGAGTAGTGTACAGTTCCAGCATACCTTTTGAAGGTCCATTGAGGCCATGGCTTTGTCTAACCCTTTGACAACATGTCCCATATCTTTAGACATCTGCAAATAAGAGATAATAATGATAATTCAAAATCTTTACCTAATTATTGGTTATTGTGTAAAGCATAACATGTATATCTGTGTAATGTGTACCACAAATGAAAGTATACCTGCTTCATTGCCATGGCTGTTTTAATTCTGGATGCAACACCATCTACTCTCGCAGACATTCTTAGATAGTTTAACGACTCACTCCTCTTTCTGATAGCATTTTCACTATATATCCTGGCACCTGCAAATGTAAGTAACATTACGGATGGTATTTAACAAATTATGTATTATGTAGTACATGTACAGCAAGAAATTTAAAAATTAGATCGTATTCACCGACTCAGTAATAGTAATAGATTACAGCTATTACAGACAAGATTGTGATTAAATGTGACATTGTTGCAGCTGTGATTATTTACCATCAACATTGCCTTGCTGAAGAGCTTTTTTGATCTTTGCTTTGTTCTGATTGTGCTCTTTTTCGCTTCTTTTAGACTCCCGTTCTAGTTGTTTTGCACAGAACTTAAGTTGAAACAAGGAATCCTCCATTGACGGCATGGTGATATCTTACCTTATTGCTATCACTGAAAGATGTTATAATATTAAGGAGGTACAAATCAGCTACCAGGGACAGTTTTCTTTTTCAGTGAAGGAGTAAAGTCCCAACAACATTACTATGAAATAAACATGTCACAACTTAATCATGTCACAACAACGTCAAGGACATGTCATAACCTTGTCATAGTCATGTCATAGTCTATGGAGTTTAAGAAGTCGTATTTAAACATAAATCTCATCATAATTAATTGGATAAGTCACTGTATAATCACTGCACTGATTCAGGGACAATAGATAGAAAGCTATTCTATGGAACTATTTGAAAAACGTTCACTCATACTATCATGATGTCGACTATTATATGATAATTTAGTACAACCGAGAAAATTATGCTTGGTGAAGGTGTAATAATCACATTTTCGAGATAAGCTGCCAATCTTTCTGTTTACAATCAGAAGGAAATTAATTGCCTATTTAGTCGGATTCTATACATTTGTCATTCACACTTGCTGTTGCTTTGGCTGCAGTGTGAAACGTTAGCAGTATATCCTCCTCTACACGTGGATTTGCTGTGAGAAAAATTGTTGACATCTTTATCTCACCAGTGCTCACAGGATAAATAAGACCAATCTTATACCAACATTTGGCATAGAATTTTCTTACCTGAGCCTGGGGACCTCCCGACCTCGCATTTTAATGTTACCGAAATGTTTTTTGGATTTGCAGGGCTCGCTGATGACTTAATTTGTCATCATTTATATTTTTCGATATTGCAATTAGGTTTAACTAGCTTGCTAATCTATTACTCGCTACTCTCACGTTCGAGAAGTTCGAGAAGTTCGAGAAGTTCGAGAAGTTCGAGAAGAGCACCATGCATTAGGATTAGCGTGCCAGGTAACAAATAGGTGTACATTAATATGTAAACAATAAGCGAGCGTGCTAAATCACTTTACAGTCGATCTTCAAAATTGTTCTCAAAGGGCCCCCGACAGTTGAAATCAACTTGAATCCATGTATTTTCGGACACTGATTCCGAATAACCCCCATGACACAGAGTTAAAATGCTCTCCTGGCGAAATTTTGGCGCAAACCTGTCTCGATCAAGTCATATGACCGTACAAGGAATTTAGTCCAATGATCTAATTTATCGTTAAGGTTACGGCGCGGTTATAGCATATACAATTTTGTTAAGGATTGGGTCAGGGTTAGGGTTATATTTAAATAAAAAGGTTAGACTTGAGTTTCGAATGGTCGTTCAGGGCCAGCTAAAGAACAAATTGAAAAGTCATGAGACAGTCTTGTAGCGCAATGTACTGGGCCGCGCCGCGCATCCAATAATGCTTCTTACGACCGCAGCTTTTTTTGCGACCACAGACTCACCGAGCTGCGAATAAAAAGATTGACATCGTCAGTTAAGTTATTGCAGAGCTAGCTACGGTTTAAAAGGGTTTTATATTTACTCTCACTTGCATGAAATAAGCGCGCCCGCAGCGGCGCAAAAGCACATGGTTAGTTAAATGACAGTCTACAACTATATGTCACATTTAATAGTATTATTGTCGAAGCCTAAATTTTTAACGGGTGATACTCGTAAAATATCTGTTCCATATATTGGACCGTCGACGAGTCTAACTTGGCGCGCGTCCTGGTAGGTTGTAAACCTACAACTAAATTTCAAAAGCTTATTAATTGTTGAGCCGGCCCGGGGAAATTCTGGTCGAGGTCGTTCATGAAGTACAAGCTGTGAACATGACAATGTCATGCCAACAATGGAGATGTTTCCAAACCGCACGCTTGTACTCGCTCATGATTGACCCGCGCGCGCGCCTAGCTCTATACTAGCTCTGCGAACGTCGGTACCGCTTAAGCATGAAATACTTAGTACTACGCGGTTCTCAGTACAGGTTCTGCGTGAACATTTGTAGCTGTAGCACAAGTTTGATGATCATGCACGATGGGACCACTGGAAGCGCATTGCACTAGAGATTTTTCGCGCGCTGAGTGTTGCCAGGCAAATATTTCATCATGATTCCCATTAGCTTCCAGCTCTATCTTTACTTGGCATATCATTAGTTCATGTTTCAGTTTTAAAGAGAATCCTTTGTTCTGCATCCCAGTATAAATTTTATCAGTTAACTTTTTGATGAAGTTGACTATCAAATGTGCGTAAAGTAATCAGTTTTCGACAGACCACTGCAAGAGAACTTCATTTTTATCCTACCCAGAAAACTGAGAATATATTGGAAAACATCTCAACTTTATGTGTGCAAATTTTCAGAATGGCTCGACAAGATGGTTTCGAGATAGAGATGATCAAACACGATGTTTCTGTGTTATTTTAATACATTCGCGTGCAATTTTTAACGCCAATTGTAAGATGTAAGCATTGAACGCCAATTGTAAGCATTGAAAATATTAGAGATTTGATAGAATAGTGCATTGTAACAGAATATAATAACACATAGTATTAGAAAGATTAATTACCACAATAGCTCGATCATGAGATCAGTGGACTGTTTGGATGCTTTCAATGTGAATAGTAAGCTGGGTGTGGGTTCGAGTCTCACCGGGGGTTGAAATCTTCGATTTCAAATCCCGGTGAGCTTCGAACCCACACCCAGCTTAATGTTTTTGCTTTATCCATTAAGTTTATAAATATAAGATATCATTGAGATAAACAAATTAGGTTATTAGTTATATTAAAACACTACCACAAATATAATACTCCATCATTCACTTTATTACTGAGTACTGACACGTAATAAAGTTGACTATAAAATGTGCGTAAAGTAATCAGTTTTCGACAGACCACTGCAAGAGAACCTCATTATTAGCCCTCCCAGAAAACTCAGAATATATTGGACATCATCTTAACTTTATGTGTGCAAATTTCCAGAATGGCACGACAGAATGGTTTAGAGATAGAGATGATCAAAGACGATGTTTCTGTGTTATTGTAATACATTCGCGTGCAATTTTGAACGCCAATCTTAACAATATAACAATTGAAAATGTTATCAGTTTGATCGAATAGTGCATTGTAGCACAATATAATAACACACAGTATCAAAATGACCAGTTACCACAATGGCTCGGTCATGACAGCAAAAGACTAATTCTATATGTTGACACAAGCAATAAGTAAACTCAGTGTGGGTTCGAGTCTGACCAGGGGTTAAATTCTACGATTTCAAAGATTTCGAAGATTTCAACACCTGGCCAGACTCAAACCCACATCTGGTCGAATGCTTTTGCTTTATCTATATTATTTATAAATATAAGTTAAATACAATATCTTATTGAGATAAACAAATAAAGTCAGTAGTTAGATTAATACACGAACACAGATATAATCATTGACATTATTACTAACACGTAATTTGCCATAACTCCGGTCTCCGGATTGGAAATATGTTCCCAAGGCCCAATTATTCTCAAACCCCATCGATATTGAAAGTCTGAAAATAATTCAAAACTACCACTACTTACTCTCATTCTGTTGAACAATCAGTAAGAAGAGTTTTGATGATTAAATGTGAATCCTATCTCAGAAAATGGATTCCATGATGCGTTTGATATTGGTTACGCGAACCAGGATTTGCTCCTTCATGAGCATTGTAGCGTTTCCCTTCAAAAAGCAATACTGGCCAGTGCGAAAAGCCTGCTGGCTTTGGATCAATTCATTATATTATATTCGACCGACCATATCATGCATATTCAAATTTTAACTCTTAACTGACATTGATTGCTTTTTTTACAATTCATAGATTTTACATTCGCGCCTTCCGTAAAGTAGAGCAAGATTCTGAAATTTCAGCAGGCAAACTGGACTTTATCAATGTTGTTGAAAGAGTTTCTAAAGATGATCAAGAAAGTTACTGAAACGATTCCGTCTATCCTACATAACAGTCTATCCTACATAACAGTATTTTAGGCCTCGTTTGCAAAATTTTAGCGCACAGAATTAAACCAAGTTCTGCTGTATTGCGAGCAGCGATAGAAGGAAGTTTTCTCCAACAGTTGAAGAGCGAGGGGTAGTGTGAACGAGTTCATCAGTTCATTCTTTTCTTTTGTGGCAGAATTAACTCCCTGTCAAAGATTAATAATGTGAAACGAATTTGAAACATAACCTCAGCAAGTCGTGAGTTGTGTCAAAATTGTATGATAGATAATAATCTCAGAACTTTCTAAATCTTAATAACATTTTTTCATCAGCATTGGCAAATAATTGGCAATAGTAATTTTGCTTCAACTTACATTTGTTCTCGGAGAAGGAATGTTACACAATGTTTACATGGTCCTGGCCTGATCGGCAATACTATTCGCTACTTTTCAGGATTTAATCCCTGAAATTTTGTACAATGCTAGCAGGAATTACGAAATCTATTCGAAGGTTATTTAGTTTGTTCCTCAAACCGCTCCACAAAATACTCCACAACTCCCTCTCTACTTCTCCCGCTTCCCCATCAACATTTCACTACCACTCCTCCCCCGCCCCCGAAGAGGAAAGGTCACCATTTCTACTCACACTCACAACACAGCACTCAGTCTTGGTCCAAGAAAGCAAAAGATGATCTACTCGCTACGGTACAGGAGAATATTTCTGCAATGGCCATCAATCTACGTTGGAAAGAGTTATTTGCTAACACTCAACCGACACTCTCAACAAACATTTGAAGTAGACTTACACCTGTGCTCCACGTCTAGTAGACCAGAGAAATCTGGGCCAAGACTTCTGAAATAGAGGAGATACCACATCAAGAGGATTAATACAAGCTTCTTTTAGCTTATTTAATCTTTTTGCCATCTCCAAGAATAAGTGGCTGTTATGATTTCTTTTCACTGTCGCTAAACGTGTAAACAATTTTATAGATATTCATGCCATACAATTGCAGTACCTACCTATTGAACCTATGAAAGTATTTTTACCTAGCAGCAGTAAAATCGGGGGGGGGGGGGGGGGGGGGGGGGTAAGGGATCATGTATTAACTGTTTTTAGGATAATAATTAAGACACCCACCCCCTTTTACCGGCTTTTGTGGTACTAACTGTTGAGAAATCACTGTACTATGTCTTGGTTTATAAAATAAAATACCCACCCAGAAATTGCTTTAAACAGCTCATTAAATATGACTTTTTAGTTTTAAAAGGATCCGATATTGAATGTAAACAATGAAACTAACAGTTGAGATATCTATGCTTAATTAAAAACATACACTAACACACGCCCACATGTTTACAGATTACAATTACACACATGGCATGTATGTAATGTGTACTATACATATCACACATCATTTAAGAACCAGTAGTTGAAATACATTTTAAAATAAATTAAACACTGCACCTTCTCAAACGGAAAAGTCAACAAAGCCAAAGGCCACTTTTTAAAATTATACAAAAGATCAATCGCACTCTGTTTAATAAATTATATCTTAATTTACTAACTGTTTTTGGGCAAATTAGACCTAAGACTCACTATTTAGTAGCATACAGTACAAACTGTTTTTCTGGGAAATGAGCAGCAGATCTACCACTTAGTACAAAAGTACTAACTGTGTTTTGGAAGAATATATGACACACCACCCCAACGTCACGTACAGTTAACAGTACTCAGTACCTGATCCCGGGGTCCCCCCTCCTCCCCCGG